CACTAGAGAGAGAGAGAGAGAGAGAGAGAGAGAGAGAGAGAGAGAGAGAGAGAGAGAGAGAGAGAGAGAGAGAGAGAGAGAGAGAGAGAGAGAGAGAGAGAGAGAGAGAGAGAGAGAGAGAGAGAGAGAGAGAGAGAGAGAGAGAGAGAGAGAGAGAGAGAGAGAGAGAGAGAGAGAGAGAGTGAGAGTGGAGGCCTATGACCTTGAATAAACTTTCTCTGGTTTTTTTTTATTGATATTATCAATCCTGTAGAAAGAAAGTCTTTTTTTATATTTTCCCTGCCGCGAAAGGACAGAGAGAGAGACTAGATCAAAACGTTGACTTGAGACGATTACTTCTGATCAAACAAGAAGAACGCAGGCAAATCTAACCTTTGGCCAAAGAAATCTGATGCGTCCCCTACAGAGATTGCCGGAGATTCCCAGAGGTACTCGCTTTCCTCTCCTCTTTCTACATTTTCTGATATCTTCTTTTAAAGAGCTCTTCAGTAATTTACCCATCTAGAACCGATGCATTACTATCGTGTTATGAGTGACCGAAACTTAGGGAAACATTTCAGAACATTGATAGTATGCTGCTGTCAGTTTTCTTTTCAAAGGATAAAAGCTGTATAATGCATTCTTTATACCTATACTCCAGAAATGGATCACGCTAGATTGCGCCAAGAATACAAGGATGAACGCTTGTGTATGAAGATTTTGGATAGAATGCGTGGTGATAGTCCTGAAAGAGTTTTGCTGACTGGGAAATCCGGAATCGGTAAGACGAGGCTGGCAAGGAAGGTAGGCGAGCATGCAATAAAAGATCCCTTGTGCTACCTCACCCTCTGCATGCACCTCAACTACAAGATTGAAGATGAACTATCACTTTATGAAAACATAGCTTTCCAAATGGAAGTGTATGACAGAGACAGGTTGCTAGCGGATGACTTGGTCAAGGCTTTGAAAGACAAGATAACTGCAGAGCTCATCAGGAGAAAGACACAAGCTGTAGAAAAAGTAAGGGCTCTAAAAGTGGAGAGAACAACAAAGACATCATCTGCAGTAGTGCCTTATATTCTGCTGATCCTTGATGATGAAGGAAACCCGACCAGTGAAGACAAAGTGATGAAAGAGTTAGGCCTTGGGAGCTTTCTCAAAGATTACGCACCTCTAAAAATCCTTATTACTAGAGGAAAAAGATATGAAAACGCGACAAGGAGTGAGGGGGAAACGGAGTCCTCTGCCACGGACAAGCCACAAGATACAGAGTTCCAGGGGGACAAAGTGATGAAAGAGTTAGGCCTTGGGAGCTTTCTTAAAGATTACGCACCTCTAAAAATCCTTATTACTAGAGGAAAAGGATATGAAAACGCGACAAGGAGTGAGGGGGAAACGGAGTCCTCTGCCACGGACAAGCCACAAGATACAGAGTTCCAGGGGGATAATATGTCTGATTTATTTGAGTACCTTATCAAGAACGATGCAAGTGAGTTGCTTAACTCCCTTGAGAAAGCTTGGAAGATTGACGAGCCATTGATATCTCGCATGGCGCGAAGAACCAGTTTGCCCGCAGCAATCGTCGTTCTTGCCAAGTCCCTAAATTGCATCACACGTCAGAACACTTTCAAGAGTCTTTCTTCCAAACAAGAAAAGGTTTTAAAGGATGTTTTATCCCCCATTGAGCCAGCCGATTCAGTTTCTCAATACGATCCTATCCTGCAACTTGCTTATCAGCTGTTGGAAACCGATGATCCATCGAAGAATGCCATTATTGATTGTTTTTGGCATAGCTTGACTTTTTTGAGCACTGCGGCTGTGTTATTACCGTGACCTGATCACACAATGGATACTTGAAGGTTACTTTGAACCTGTTCGATCTGTTAAGAAGGCTTACAACGATGGTCATGATATCTTGTTGGAGCTTATCAACCGTGGTTTTCTGAAGATACAAGAGGGTGATATGGTTGTACCAGAGATGGCAATGAACAATATAACCGATCTTCGGCATCATGGGCTCTTAGGCAGATCTCGGCTCCGGTTTGCCAGGGTTGATGGTGGTGACAAGATCAAAGGTCTAGGGAAAATCATCCAAATAGATGATATGATAAAAACAGTACAAGCAAAGAAACGAGACAACATTTTTACGATTCTGGTAAGTGGAAACCGTCTACGTCGTGAAGTACCTCAAAAATTCTTCGAGCAGATGACGGATCTTAAAGTACTTGCTCTTTTCGATCCAACAGTGGAGGGTTTAACTGGGTATTTAAAGGATCTAATTCAACTGCGAGTTCTTGTGATCAGGAACTGTGATCTACTGTCAGATATCGAGGAGCTTAGGAGTCTACAATGGCTACAAGTTCTTGAAATTTCTGGAGCTAGCTCTTTGGAAACTATCTCCGATGACTTCTTTGCCTCGATGTCTGAACTTCAAAGTCTTAATCTCTCTGGACTTCGGATCAAACATTTACCATCCAGCATTTCTCAACTCAAGAACCTCCAGAGTCTCATCCTTAGGGACTGTCCTGTATTGGAACACTTGCCAGACATACAGGAACTAGAGAAGCTCGAGGTTGTTGATGTCCGTGGATCACACAACCTGAAAACTTGCTTCGGCGAAAGATTTGACACACGCAGAAACCAAACCTTTTCTCGTCTTCGACAGCTTCAGCTCCTTGACTTTTCAAAGAGCAAAATAAAACGACTTCCAATGTTTCATGCTGTGGCTGACATGCTTCACTCCTTGACGCGGCTCTCACTGCACAACTGTAGCAATTTGACAAAGTTGCCCAATCTCAAACCTTTATCGGGTCTCCAAATTCTCGATCTTTCTGGCACCACCAGTTTAGTGGACATAGCGACAGTATGCTTTGAGCAGAAAGAGGAACTCAAAATTCTTAATCTGTCGGGCACAAAGTTGACAGAATTGCCTTCCACCATCTTTGTGCTATCGAACCTCAGTCAAATCCTCCTACGGGGCAGCTCCAACCTAAAAGCAATCCCAAACGTCGAGGGACTCACAAGCCTCGAGGTCTTTGATGTTTCAGGGTGCACTGAGTTGCATACAATTGAGGGATCCTTTAAAGACATGTTTTACCTGCACAAAGTAAATCTCTCTGGAACCAGGATAAAAACCTTACCAGAGTTGCCAGAGAAAAGCATCATCTGTTGCTCGAAACTCCTTGTTCTGGCAGATTCAAGAAGATTGGAACATGCTACTTGGAGCCAAGTAAAGGAAGCCATAGAAAATAGGATGCCTGAGGATCTTAGCTCTTCTGGTACCAGCGGTGAAATCCAAGAAATCTCAAGAAAGGAGTCAGGAAGAACAGGAAAGAAAGATTTGAATGAAGCTTGGGCCTTCGATTCTCAATTATACAAAGGTCACATATACAGGGATATCTATACGAACACAATACCGTTTGTTGATACCAAAAGTCATCAGGAAATCCTAGAGATCCATGGATCTAATGGCGTAGATCAAGATGAGGAAAACTTAGCTAAAGCTGAGTTTGTGGCATTTGTGGACAACAACGTCGCAAGTCTCTCATCCATCTTCAATGATTTGAAATCAGTAAAAGGTTGTTGGCTGGAGATGTGCAGTGATATTAAAACCCTTTTCTCTGATGTAGATGAGGAATCTCTTGGAAACTTGGAGGCTTTGTCAATAACAAATTTTCGATGGTTGGATAGTATATTCAGCAGAGGATTAACGAATCTGAAAAAACTAAGCCTAGATTGTTGCCCGACTATCATAACGCTTTTCCCTGATTCCGCACCTCCCAGCCTGGAAGTCCTGAAAATAAAGTTTTGTGTTAAGCTGGAGAAAGTGTTTGAAGAAGAAGATGAATTCCCGAGTCTGCACACACTGTGCCTTTTTGAGTTACCTGAGCTATCCGCTGTCGGTGCTAAGTTGCCTAATCTGGAGACCTACCAAAAAGACAAATGCCCAAAGCTGAAATGTTCAAAGGAAAATCTCAAAAGAGAGAATAGCCGAGATGAAATTCTTTGTGATTCAGTGAGTCCAACACTATTATCACTTTTCTTATATTCATCACTTCCTTTTGTTTCTCTTACTGTTATAAAGTTTCTGGCTGCTTCTTTTTGCAGGACTGTGAAAAGGCTGAGCACGGTGAGGATATATGAAAAAACCATGGAAAGCCGTCGAACCAAGATCGAGTTACTAAGCATTCTTTCACTGAATCCTTGTCTTTGATTACTTACTTTTTTCTCTGTGTTCGTGTTTCTGTATTTGCACCACGATTATCTGTTCAACATACTGTTTTATTCTGCTTGCACTTTGTGACTGGCGATGGACGCTCTGTTTCTCCACTGTACCCCAGACTCTGATTAAAATGTACTCTTTTTTTTTTCTTCTTCCACCATTGCTACAAGTTACTGTAGTGTGATTTGATCTTAGGTGTTGTTAGTGGTCAAAGAAAAGGAAAAGCCCAATCAATAAAACTTAATGCAGAGGGCTATGTACTCTGTCGTTTTATCATTTTTAATCTAAAATAAGACCAGAAGACCAGCGGTTTATTTGTAGAAAAAGACCTTCGTTCTTTCCGAGCGAAGTTTGGCTTAAAAGTCAACGGCAGAAGCAAAAGAAGCATTCCACAAACAAGTTTCTCAGAAGCCGATCTGATTATAAGCTCATAGCCGTTTATTTGCAGCAAAGAGAAGAAAATGGTGGAAGTGATTCCCAAACAAATCAAAGATGTTTGGGATAGCTGGAATATCAGGGGAATGGTCATCCTCAGTCTTTCGCTTCAGACAATTCTCATTTTCCTTTCTCCCTCCAGGAAAAGAACGCCCAACAAGTTCCTGATCTTTCTCTTGTGGTCCTCGTATCTCTTGGCAGATTTGTCTGCGAATTTTGCGGTTGCATTGATTGCCAAGAACCAAGGTAAAGACCCTAAACCTGATGATCCTCCTCAAGACAAGAAGCTACTCGCCTTGTGGGCACCTTTCTTGCTCTTACACCTTGGTGGACCAGACACAATCACTGCGTTTTCTCTCGAGGACAATGCTCTCTGGAACAGACATTTCCTTGGGCTTGTCTTTCAGGCGCTTGCAGGTGTCTATGTGGTTATCCAGTCTCTACCCAATGTGCTTTGGGTGATAATACTGTTGCTGTTCATTGCTGGGACTTCTAAGTATTTGGAAAGGACAATTGCGCTGTACCTAGCAAGTTCAGACAAGTACAGGGGCTCGATGTTGCAGACGTCCAGTTCAGCGTTTGACTACACCGAGCAGCCAGACAACCTAGATATGGACTCAATCATTGCTTCTGAGATGTACATGAAGGAGCATCGCCGACAGCTGAAACCTCCGAAGCTCATGATTCCCAATAGGAAGTTGACCCACCTCGAAATTCTTCAGTATGGTTTCTTCTTCTTCAATAACTTCAAGAGTCTTATGGTCAATAACATCTTCAGCTTGGAGCTACGCGATGAGAGCATGGCATTCTTTAGAGCACCGAAACTACAAGACGAAGAAGCTCTGAGAATTATGGAGGCCGAGCTCGATTTTATCTATGAAGGACTGTACACAAAAGGTGCGGTTCTTCATAGTTGGGTTGGACTTGTGTCCCGATTCATATCATTGGGATCTCTTTTGTCAGCCTTCACCATCTACCATTACAGACACAATAAGATACAAGAATTTCACAATGCCGACATTGTAATCACCTACACGTTGTTCTTAGTTGGAATAGCACTGGATGTTATGTCCTTGTACATATTTATGGTTTCCGACTGGACGATAGCCATGCTCTCAACACTAAAGGATGACTTCGAGAGGATCCCTTCACGGAAAGACAGAATACTCGACTGGGTCCTTGGTCTCAAGAGGCCAAAGTGGAAGTGGCAAACATGTCGGGAGGAACATAAGCAGGAGGTGCTTAACACACCGTTTTTACTTAGAAGATGGACCGGAAGCATCACAATGTTCAACTTCATCACATACTCCATGAACGCGGATACAGAAAGGATCCACAATCCCAGGGGTGGAACATTCCAGCTTTTATGGAAGACCCTACTTTGCCCTTTCAGTTACGTAACATCTGTACACAGTGAACCTTTGACAAAAGAGCTATGGTCTTTCGTATTTTATGAGCTGCAAGAGAAGTCCCAGATTCTAGACAGCCTGGAGAATACCACAACAAAATCCTCGGCCAGGAAAGATTGGGCATCAAGCCACACCCAGATTCAAATAGCAGATCATGAAATGCTGTTACGTTACATAACAGATCTTGATTATGACCACAGTCTTTTGATTTGGCACATTGCCACCGAGCTCTGTTACCAAGAAAAAGATTCGGCCAAAGAAAAGTGTGATAACTCTGAGTATCACACTAACCGTAAGATCAGCAAAATGCTCTCAGACTACATGATGTATCTCCTGATCATGCAGCCTAAGCTGATGTCAGAGGTAGCTGGAATAGGAAAGATCAGATTCAGAGATACATTGGCCGAGGCTGATAGGCTCTTCAAGAAGATGCGTATCGAAAACTCTAGATATGTGAAATTTGCCAGCGGAGTTATTCTTTCCGTTGATACAAGCATCGAACCAAGAGATGTCAAAGGAAACCATAGTAAATCGGTGTTGTTTGAGGCAAGTTCACTGGCCAAAGAGCTTCAGAGACTGGAGAGAGATTTTGGACAAGACAAATGGAAGACACTTAGCAAAGTGTGGTTGGAGTTCCTCTTCCACGCAGCATCACACTGTGATGCTACAACGCGTATGGAGCTACTTAGCAAAGGTGGGGAGTTCATCAACTTCGTTTGGCTACAAATGTCTCACTTTGGCCTAGGTGATTGAATAGCTTAACTCACACCGAAAAGATCAGATTCAGAGCCACAACTTGAGGTATCTCAAGTTTGCTTCCGTTTATAAAATACTTTGTGAGTTTCAACTACTAAATAAGCTTCAGAGCCTAATGAAATTTAAAACCTAACATTGAAGCAATCTGATGTAAATTCTCATGGGCATCTAGAGAGCATCTAAAGTGTTATTGTACGATAAACACTATCCTAATTCAACACAACTCAAAATAGAAAATTCTCATCAAAATATCAAAAAGGATTCAAGTCCCATACCTTATTCGTAGCTGCATTGTCGTAACCCAGAACGATTGATCAACCTTCGCCATAACTGAAAAAAAAAACCCCGAAAATACAAAATCTTCGAATTATAAAACATCGACGATTCGCCATTAATCGAATTCAAACGGAAAACTCTCTCCCGATCAGCTCAATCTCCTCCGGTTTTTTTTTCTCCCGACGAGAAAGACGGTAAACGGAGGAGAACCAAATCTTCGTCTTGTTAAAAAAATTGAAAATTGAAACTAAAATAAATAATTGGACCGGTGAACTGATGCATACCGGACCGGACTAAACCGACATTAGACGATAAACCTTATCCAGTTCTCCCACTCGAAACAGAACAGAGAAGAGAACACAAAACTCCGATGCTTCTCTCTCTCTGTGTCTCTAAATTACGTTAGGATTTCGTTTCTTGGTTCATGTCTGGTCTAATTTAATGGCTTCTGTACCATGTTCCTTCAAGCTCTCTGCGTATTCCAGATCTTCTTCCAAGGTAATCTTCTCTCTCTACGTAGATGATTGAACTCGTTCCTTCTCTTCTTTCTATTGATCAATCTGGTCATCATTGATCGATACAAAGATTCTCTTAAGTCACAGCCATCCTTCAATTATTTCATTGCACTTTAATGGCTTCAAAACCATTTCTTATATCAAACATTTACACCACTATCTTGTTTTCAGTCTCTTCTTGCTACTTTGATTGATTATTCTTTTCAAAACTGGTTCAATTTACACAGCGTAATGGAAGCTACAAGCAGTTTAGTTTATTAGAAAGACGAAAAGAGAGTGACAGACAAGCTCCACAGTCTCTTACTCGCATCAACCGCTTAGAGATATCTCGTATAGCGCCATTACAAGCAACGATGAATAGCCCGAGAGGTTTTGGACCTCCTCCTCCAAAGAAAACCAAGAAGTCCAAAAAGCCAAAACCCGGAAACCAAAGTGATGATGAAGAAGAAGACGAGCAAGAGGAAGACGACGACGATGGAGATGATCGCGAGAGAGGTGTGATTCCAGAGATAGTGACCAACAGAATGATAAGCAGGATGGGATTCACAGTGGGTCTACCACTCTTCATTGGTCTCTTGTTCTTCCCAATCTTTTACTACCTCAAAGTGGGGTTGAAAATCGATGTACCGTCATGGGTTCCGTTTATCGTTTCGTTCGTCTTCTTCGGGACGGCTTTAGCTGGTGTGAGCTATGCGATTGTGTCGTCGAGCTGGGATCCTTTGAGAGAAGGATCGTTGTTAGGCTGGAACGAAGCTAAGAAGAACTGGCCCGTCTTTTGGCAGTCTTTTTGGAATTCCTCAAACAAGAGATAGGCTAAGGCAACACCCAAAACAAATATCTCTTTGGTCTCTTTGGTCTTGCCTCGAATCCCCAACAAGAAGATACTTCAAGACTTCTGAGTTTTCATTTTACTCCAGACGCAAGACTAGATTCATAATCCGATGTAAATTTTCCTGAAAATGTGTCTTTGCGGATGAATGGTCCTATATGAATTTCTTTATTGACTCTACAGCGAAGCTACCAAAATGATTTGGGAAGAACCAAGAACTACACAAAAAATAGCCCCAAAGTCGAAACTTTTATTGCCAAACCACAAATGTTAATCGTCACACATAAACAAGCCATCACACGACTGAAAGTAAGAAAATAAAACCAAACCCGAACTATAGACGACACAAGACCGTCGTAACGAAAAAGGAGACAATTTAAGTATTTTTTGTTTTTAGACTGACCACTCAGGGACCAACCAAAGTATACTTTATAAGCTATTCATATAAGTAAACTATTACTCGGAAGAGGCTCAGTGAGAGGTCTTTTGGGTCAGCCGGCGACTTTCCTAGAGTAGGCATTGGTGGTGGGTTGTGTTGGTCTAAGGAACATGTCACGTGTTTCTCCTACACAACCTGCCTTCATCGGCGGTGGCTTCAGCTGCTGTTGCTGCATCACAGACACAGAGTGCCTTCGAGACACGCCTCCTCCGATGCTCACATTCGAGAGTTTATCAGCAGTTTCAGATACACCGCGAGCAACCCGGCTCTTGTTGAATGACGACCCTGCTCCGTTATCTTCAATTGAATAGATTGGTTTTATCAAATAAAGAGAAACAACCATTGTACGAGTTAAAAAAAAAAAAAAAAATGATGGTACTTACGAGGACTCTTTCTTCCGGGTGGTCTGTATTTCGAGTCTCTGACTGAACTTCTCACAGGTTTAGTGTTTCTCGTCCCATCTTGATTAGCCAGATCGAGTTTCCGCTGGACGCCACTGCCAAAAGCAGCATTAGACTTTGGAGTAACATGGCTGTTGAATGGCTTAGCATTGGCAAGAGACACCGTGTGCCGTTTAACTGATTGGTGCTCGAATGATCCCCTTGGTCCGACTAGAACAAAACATATATGAAATTTAGTATTCAAAAATCCCAATATAGATATAATAACTCATACCCTGATATTGCCAATCAATAAACCAAAAAAAGATTACCAGGAGGGGGAGTTCTTGCAACTGATGGCTTGGGGCGGAGAGACGGTGGGACATAAAAGCAACTCTGCCACATGAAAACACAAGTTAGATCAAGATAGGAGCTATAACAGTCATATTGACCCAGTAAATACTCTGGTGTACCTGGAAGAACGGGTGCTGCAGAGCCTCTGCAGCAGTCGGCCTGTTGCATGGATCCCACGAGCAAAGCCGCTAAATGATCATGATAAAAAGGTAGAGATTAGTGTCTGAGAATTAATGAAACACGTCTACAGCTATAGGGAAACCCCTTTAAAGAGATGCTAATTACCGTAATAAGATTAGTCGCATCTTCACTAGCAGATGGCATCAAGCTTGAAAGAGGAACACCAGGAAGCTGCAAGATGACAACCTTAGTCCCTTGTTCAAAAGAAAAACATAGAGAGGCTCAAGACACACTATTCAAGCTTGAACAAGTACCTCAGGGAATTGATAGTTTATGGTGTTAGCAAGTTTAAGTCCCTCCAACCAGATCTCCTCAGTTGGGCTACCTATGACACTGCATATTTTGTAGATTTCATCTGCTTCGCTGCAATGATGACACAACATTTAGTCTATTATTAGTATTTGATTTGCAACATTTCAAATCAGCTAACAAAAATTAGCACTGATAAGTTACCTAGACCCGGGAAAAAGAGGGCGAAGAGACAACAGCTCAGCCATAATAGCACCCATCGCCCACATATCTCCAAAAAAAAACAAAATTGCCAAATTGTTTAGCAAAGAATAACATCACTATGTATAAAATGTTACTTATTACTACGGTATAGATACTAACCAACTTTTGATGTGTACACATATGACTGTAGGAGCACTTCAGGTGCCCTGTACCTATTAGAACAAAGACTTATGGGTCAGTACTGAAAAATCGGGGTGGCCAGAATGGGTAAATGAAGCACAGATATCTCGATTACAGGATGTCTCACTGCAACACAAAGAAGCGAATCTTACCAGCGTGTAGAAACATACTCAGTAAAAGGTGGACTTGAATTAACCTCCCGTGCAAGACCAAAATCAGCAATCTTAATAATGTCCTTAGAGACTAATAGATTTTCTGCAACAACCAACACGATATAAATATATATTCATTGACTATTTATCGTTTAACCATGACTGCTAGAAAGACATAGTGATTAAAATCAGAATAGTCAATCTACATAGCAGATGTCTGAAGCTTTATAACAATTACCTGGCTTAAGATCACGGTGGAAGTAACCACGCTGATGCATGTAAGAAAGGCCTTGGAAGACTTGAAAACACCAATTTCTGATATCAGCTTCAGAAAAAAGCTTTTGTCGATCCTTCATAAGCTGGTAGAGGTTGCACTCCTGATCAAGTAAGAACGACATATGCAGATTCAGTGCAATGAAGCTAAGTATCAGGTAATATCAAATTACAGGCAGGAAGAAGAATACCATGTACTCAAAGACAAAGTATAGGATATCATTCTCCCGGATGACTTCCTTCAGCTTCACGATGTTGGGATGATTCATTCTCCTGAGCGACTTATAGGAGAGAAAAAGGAAGAATAATTAAACATACAGTAAAGAAGACCAAAAAAAAAGCAACTCAGCGACGGCAGTCCACTACCTTCACTTCTCTCAGATTAATACATTCATCCCACGAGTAGTACTTCTTTTTCATTTTCTTAATTGCAACCTGCTCATAGAAAACAAAAGTTAGTAAGAAATCAAGCACAGAACATTATACAGACATAGATCAGATAGCTCTCAACGAAACCAACTTACGACTTCACCAGTCTGCTTATTAATAGCTCGCCAAACACTACCAAAAGTTCCATCACCAACCTCTTTAATTAACTTGTACCTATAAATTCATAAGGCATTGAGAAGAAAACTAATGAGCCATAAATCAAGAAGCCAGATGCAAAGATATTAATAATTAAGAGATATTTGAGTTACCTGTCCATTGTCTTTCCAGTAAAGTAAAGTATCTTCTTTATTTTATGTATGTAAGGAACTTCCGAAAGGTTTATATAGCATTAATCCTCCACTTGTTCGTAGCAAGGACTGGACACCAAGGCAATAAATCAATGATTCTCCAGCTGGGTAGATTGACCGTTATTTACTTTGAACATCAATGGCTTGACCATTAAGGCAGAAAAAAGACAGCAAAAGAAGAAGAAAACACATACTGCGAACTCAAAGACGCAAAGGAACCAACAAGAAAGAATGTGTTGGCTAACAGGAAGGACCCTAAGCTCACAACATTTCACTCAGGGGTTCAGACTCAAGACTCAAATAAAAGGTATCACATCTACGATGTATGTAAACTTGAAAAGAAACGGATATATCCTTCTTCAACCAGCGCCCATAAGAACAAGATATCGAAAAGGGGCTTAGAAATCTTTGTCCACAGGGGGTAGATAGAGAGGTTTCTCTAGGACAATGCGAATGAAGAATTTGCAGACTTCAGCCCTGCCAAAAACCAAATTCCAGACTTACAAATATGTAACATATGATAGATATGAAGATGTGTACAAAAGCTATGTTTACTTTGGGTTTGACGTCCTTTAAACTTGTCTGCAAGTGTCGATGTCAGAATGATATCATACAGGCTTCTGTTTTCATCTTTTCGTTACATTTTTCTTTTTAGGATTTTCCTAGATTTTAGAAGTTTTACCATCTCTCAAAGTTCCTTTATTTTGCATTCAGTCATGAAAAAAGGAAAAGCACCTTAACGAAATGCATAGTACGCAATAAAGTTCCAAATAACGGCAACAATCCAAGGAGGGAAGCATCGTGTAGAAGAAAACAAAAGTTTCAACAGCATCAATTGGAAACTATACCTGTCTCAGAAATTTGCCTCACGCCTTCCCTAAAGATCATAGAAGAGGGTTTGACCACTAAGTGCAGTTAACAAAAGAGCCCACAAGGATATCTGAACGTACAAGAAACCGCCAATCGAGCGCTTCTTGGAATGAGAAAAGCCGATAATGGTAGCAGCTTGGCCAGACGAAAACATGCTCCATAACTCAGAAGATAAAAACCCACTTAAAAGGACGCCTGATAGAACCTATAGGCAATAAAACAGAAAAAATTATATATAAGCAATTTAGAGAAAAACGAACACAAGAAAATAAGAAAAAAGAAACGATCTGAAAGCACGGCAAGAATTCAAGAGATCGATAGTATAGAAAAACTACCCAGAACATCATAATCAAAGGGTAGGCTAACAATGGACTAAACTTACATTAAACTCTCCTCAATACCAGTAAAAGTTATCATTGTTCATGAAACGCCAAACACCTAGCAGGAATAATTAAAATGCAGATGAGACCACAAATCACAGCATCTGAGAAAGTTTTAGCAATGTTTAAGCTCGTAGCATCAAAGTTTTAGCAATGTCTAAGCTCGTAGCATCACCAAAATCTTCTAGGCAAGCTAACAAGGGACTCAATTTATCTCATCAATACTAGATTCCTAGTAAAAAAAACACCATCATTCCTGAACCCGAAAAATCCCAAACACCAATAATTAAAATGCAGGTGAGAAAACAAATCACAATCACATATCCCATTTAGCTCATAGATCTAAAAAGCTGAAAGAAATCCAATTCGAGGATATATCCATACCACACGTCCACAGAAATGAAGCTACAAGATAAAAAATCCGAAGACGTCAAATTAGACTCGAGCAGATCCCAAACACACCCATTTCAATAAATTTAAGAAAAGAAACAGAAATCAGATCCAATCTGATCAAACGCGAAAACAAAACGCAAAGAGATAACCAAAAAATCACAGTCAAATAACGAAACGGAGAGACGGAGATCTGCGATCAAACCTCAGAGCCAACAGGCATAACCACCGTCGCCGACGACGGGAAGAGACGGAATCCAGAGCTTCTACGTCTTTAACTTCAATTCTTCGATTCAGTCCAACAAATATAATCGGTCCTCCACAACTCTCTCTCTCTCTCTCTCTCTCTCTCCTCTCTCTACCAAATACCTCTCTCCCTTCCCTTTCTGTGTGCGGTTCTCTCGTGATGACCTCCAAAAAAAAAAAACCTCACAATTTATATTCCCAAGCTAGAAAAAAAGAGAATATTTTTCCTTTGCTACTTGGATCGTCGTCATTGATGATATTGTGGTCGTGTCGCGTTGGGAACTGCTACGATCTGCTGTATCACACTCTACGAATTTACGGTGTGCTTTCGTATCTAATCGTTGGATTATCACGTCGTGACGTTATCCACTTATATAGACCGTTCGATTATAAGGATTTTACCGTATCTTTATGTGGCCGCCTCTCTAGTCTTTTCTTTTTATTCTTGCCTTCCACGATGTAACTGATTGATATAACATATTGACTTTTCAAGATAGTTATATAGTAATCATGATATACGAGGGGGGATTTACCAACAAAAAAGAAACTAGATTACCATAAGATTTGCTTGTTAATTTTTTTTATCAAACAAATCAAAGTTGTCCCGTAATCTTTAAAAATTAATGAAAAAACAATGTTTGTTGATAGCATTATATTTTTCTTGGTACATGCCATGCGCATGTGGCATGTCAATCTTTGAAAATCAATGGAAGAATCAGGTTGATGTGATAACAAAAATAGTAAATATAGTCAAACAATGGACTTATCTGAAAAAGAAAAAAGAAATCGGTTGGGTTAATTTGGAGGGAAAGAAATTCAAGTCATTGGGGAGGTTTAAAAAGCGAGAAGAAAGTTATTTCCCTCTACATAAATTCAACTTGTTGCATAATGCCCATTAGCGATTTTTCTTTTGTTTCTAAGTATGTGTTAAGCATAAATTTTGTTTGGTCAGTCAGATTAAAAATTGTGGTGTCATATTCAGTAAAGAATCTTCCACACCTAACCAACCCCACCAGATTTACTTTTGTGTTTTTGGCTACATTATTAAAAACACAACAGACTAAATTAGTAATCCAAAACGTCAATTACTTTACCGAAATTGTATATGCTTGCTTTTCATCCCTATATAATTGCTGGACTGGATAATGCAGTACATACTAAGGAAGAGAAAAATTTATAATGTATATTAATGGATGACATATTGACGTGTAAACCAATACAACGATATCTCAAATCGATATACCTAACATTGGAGAAATCTCGAGCTTAATAGTTACTCTTTAAACAAACAAATTAATAATATAATTCTCACCAAGCATATACTAGAAAAAAAAATTCGAAAGTTGATAAATATGCTGGGATAATAAAAATGAATTGGCAGCTTTCAACAGCTTTCTTGGCTTCGAAGCAAGACAAAGAACCTATGGTGGTGGTTGTTCTCGTGACTTTGTTCTCAAGAAACCTCCGGACAAAACAAAAGCTTTAAGCTTAAGCTTTAGATTCGTCGTATTTTTTTTTTCTTTTTTTTTTCTTATTTTGTTTCTGAAGTTGCGTTAGATGAATACCACAGCTTCTTCTGGCAAATCAAGACCTTCTCATTCTCTGATTCAGACTCTGTTTTTTCCTTACGGCAACTCCATCTCAGTCCTTTAGCAACTGATGCGATGGTATCCGCGAAATAGCTCGATTCACGTATAATCGCATACCCGTTAGGACGCAAGATCCTATCCATTTCCAGCATTACATATTTCATCTCACACCTGTCGAAAACAAGACCGTTTATTATCAAGTTAAAAGTGAGTTTTGAAGAGTTTAGAGTTTGAGATCTCTGTTCTGTCATTACCTTTGGTTTTCAGATGTAAACAGCCCATCAACGTGAAGAAGATCATAAGTTCTTGGATATGTCGAAAAAGCTTCACACCTATGAAACAACAGAGCACATTATGTATGTGAATTCAAAGTGATTAAAAGTAGAAAGACTAGGTTTTGATAATTTTACCAGTCGTGATACGTTCCGATCAATCCACGATCAAACACAACGGGGAGTGTATTCGCAGCGTAAGAAGAGACAACGTTCATGACCCACAAAGGATCATCGACCAGAGCAGCAGCAAGACCTCCATAAGCAGTGTTCATATCCATCACATTCCTAATCTTATCAGAGCCAATAGCAGGTAACAGCTTCTTGTAATGCTTAGCTCTCGTTTTCCACTTGCTGTTGTCGTGCTTAAACACGCCACCGTTTCCTCCAGGAACATCAGAGATCCTTTCAGGAGTTGTGTGCAATCTCTCTGGCCATTTGGGAGTTGATTCCAAATCTGTCTTCTTAAGCTTAGGGCTTGGAACCACAACGCAAGGTCGTAACGGCGTATACCAAGCAGAGTCTGGCTCGAGGCTATCATCACATTTTGGCGGGTATGCGTCAGGGTCGTTGGACAGCTTGTTGTAGCACATATTGTCTGAAGATTTCTGCCACACTGCGATATCGTCTTTCTTGGCATACATTTTGAAGCACATTGAAGATAATAGATCCTGCAGCTTCTCGTAATTTGATCTCTGCTCATCAATGGTTGTGTCCCAACCTTTCCAGCGGTTCTCGTAGTTGACTGGTGGACCAGATAAGACCCAGAAGCCACCAGGTCTTAGGATACGGTGAATCTCCAGAAGATAGACTCCACCTGAGAGAGCAAGGAAGAGACAAAGATTGTTTCAGTGATTTCACACAAACAGAACAATCTATGATCAAGAAGATTTTAGACAGTTATATTACCGAATTCTGTCCATGGAATAAGGCATCTTGAGCAATGAGCCATATCGAATGAATTTGAAGGGAACGGGAGACGTTGAGTCGAGATTATGCCAAGAATTGCAGGAATTCCACGTTCTAGTGCAAACTGGACTTGAGCTTCGTGGTTATCTCTCGGGGCGAGTGACACCGTTAGGATACCGCGGTCCAACAAATCGCCCCCCCAGCTCGCAACCTTGAAAACAGATCAAGACCTTTTGAGTTGAAGAAAGGGCATTTCGAGTCCTTTTTTTGCCAAGTTAAATTCAATAAGTATAAACTCACCCCACAACCAGTGTCAATGGCAGTTCGAATAGTCCCATCTTTCATCTCAGGGATCAAATCTTGCATCAAATCGACATAAGCACTAACTCCATGAGGAAACATTGTACCTCCACCCGGGAAAATGAACTTTTCACCCTCTTTCCTTAGCCAATTCTGGTTGGATTTCTGCTTGTTGATCCAATCATATGGCACATTCCTGAAATTAAATCACATCAAATTGGCAATCACTTCATGAATCTGAGGACAAGAGAGATCTATAGAAGCAAATGAGACGTGAGATGGAACAATTGGGTTGAGTAAAGGGACAACATTTACCTGTACCAACATTCGTTTTTGCTCTTTGGCCATCTTATCGGCGGTTTATAGCCGTTGGGAGGAGGAACCAGACATTGCTTCCTATCAAACACAGGAGGACAATGGCGTTCCATGAAAGTAAGCCTGTGAGTCCCATACTTCTTCCATTTCTGAACAAGCAAAGCGAAATCGAAACATTAGCTAAAGGTTTTTCTGATTCAAGCACTCACAGCTAAAGAAAAAATTTAGTTTACCCTTGGATCCGTGCACGGAGTGTAATCTTGGTAGTCACTGCTACATTCCGAGAAAGAAACAGATTTGACTTGAAGAGAGTCAACAACATCTGAGGAAGAACCAGCTTTTGCAACATCATTAATTTCGGTTTTGTTCTTCCCACAATATAACCCACCAAGATAGAATGAGAGGCCACATAGCACAATCAGTAAAACTGTCTTGGGCAAGACCTTTGTTGAGCCTTTCTCAGCTTTCTCGTACTTCTCATCTTTATACTTCATCGTTTTTTGGACTGAATAACAGATATAAATAGAATCCTATTTTTAGAAGGTCAATACACCTGCAAAAGTGCAACATGATTGTTCAAGATTACGATAATCGAAATGGAAAATTTCTAAGAATGGAATTCCTGTTTTTGTCCAAAACGACGAACCAGAGCCAGCGGCAACAGACAGATAAAACGAAAACGTAAAAGGTCAAACATCAGAGATGACTAAACAAGAACAACAAAACAAGATTTTTACCGAAGAGGAAAGAGAAATCTTTTATGCTAAATCCTGAATAAACAAGTGATGGGCCAGTGACTAATTGACAAATGAAGATTGAGAGGCTGAGGAAACAAAGGACGTCGAGAATCGAGATCTAAAAGGAACAAACAACATTGCCGACATTAAGAGATTGTTGCTTTAATGTTTCTCACATGGTGTTTGGGACCCAGATTCGACCGCCATAACATGCTCTCACTATTTCCATCAAGGTCGAGGACAATAAACAATTGGTTCCATAAAATAATAAATGCATACACATGAATGAATTCTATATTTAAGGATAAAGTTAAAAACTGTTTCACTTTCGCATTTAAAGTCTGAGAACAAATCTACACACAGAGAAAAAAGCTTGCAGACAGCTAAAAAGCCACAAAGGAGGACAAAAAGTGTAAGAAGGAACAAAATTTAGCATTAATCATTACTTGGCAGAGACGGAAAGTCTTTTTAATCTTTAATTTTACACACAATTGAGAAAGCAATAACATTAAGACGAAAAACACACCAAAATATTGACAATGAATCTGGAATTTTACAATACTCACACAAAAAAGCGAAATCGAAACGAATCTGGATTTCTGTAATCCAAATTCGAAAAATTCAGAGTGAAGATTATCCACATTATTCAAAAATAAATACAAAATGAACAGATTTGTATACGAGAGATTAAACTATAATGTGTTCTTACGGAAATGCTCTGTACTCATCGAAAGATGAATAAAGAGGAACCACAGAACAAAATTCAGAAATCCAGATCTGGTTTTACCGCAGAAAACAAAAATCGAGCTCGATGGAAAATAAGTGGATATTATTAAGAGGAAAAATGAAACAAAAACTGGAATTATGAAGATATAGGATTGATTATGAAGAACGTATAATTACCCTAGATTCGAGGACGAATCCTCTTCTAATTCTGGATTTGGAGCGCGATTTCCGAATTTTCGGCTTCGAATGGTCTCCTCGAATTCCTGAGGAGAAGATTTTCCGGCGACGGAGAGAGAGACTTTGATTATCTCTTTTTGGATTTGAAGTCCAAAATTGAAGAAATGGGAGAGAGATGAGAGATTGCAGAGAAGCTGAACGTTAACATATATAGCTTCTTATGCAAATTGGCTGTAAAAAAATTATTTTTATTTTTTCTCCTCCTCTTTTTCTTTTTTCTTTCTATTAATTGATTCGCTCTCTGTCTCTCCTTTCGTTTTCTATCATTTTCCTTCTTTAAATTCTGACTATTATTTTCACATAATATCACTGTTGGTTTTCTTTTGTTTTTATATAATTATTGAATGTTGATAAAACAAAGAGCAAAATAATAGTCACATGTTGTTTGTTAATTACGATGTAATATTATTTTTTCTAAGCAAAATACTTTCTGGTGGATATCACAAAATATCTATAGAGTGATAAAAGAAGGGAAAAGAATGAGAACTCAAATCATTTGGATCAAACTTCAATTGCCTCTAAAATACATTAGTCTATACACATTACACACACATAAAATATAAAATATCTTACGTGTAAAAAAACAAATATGAAAATCCAAAAATACGGAATTCTATAAATGATAGATCCTCTGGCCCTCTGGGAAAACGCAACGATTGTTTTTAGACTTTGAATCGTTTTTTAGATTAGCCATTCCCGGAATTCTAGGTTAGTTTGAAAAAGAATCAAATTGTTTTCCTTTAATACTAAAGTAACCAATCGTTTTTTGAGATTCTAATTTAGACGATTTATTTAAATTAAAAAATATTAAATAATGGATCCCACCACCGACAAAACAATTCACCGTCGGCATATATCAGCGATACGACTTTCCTCCTTCGATCATTGCCCAATTCCCATGCATAACCCCATTTATGGAAATCCCAATTTTCTGGTAATAAGTTTGTGTTTCTAAATTCATACAAATTTAACACAAGCTGAAACAAACTCGTAACATATAAGTCTATATATTTTGTTCAAAAAAAACATATCAGTGTATACGGTATAAAACTTCAAACTTCAAAAATCTAGAATGTTTTTTTTTTTGTTTCTTTTGCACTTTTAAAATTTTATTACACAACCATTAAACAGATGTAATATGATTGGATAAATATTGGAACTATATGATTTCAACCAAAAAAAATCACGACTTTGTAATCTAGATGAACCAATCGAATACATTACAAAAATACGATTTTTTTTATAGAGTCGCAATTAGTTAATTAATCGAAGTTGTTGGGATCAGGCCGAGTTAGTCGGTGGGTTTGTCACTTTTGTGATAGATCCACGGAAACATTGAATTATTATTCTTAAGTGTTGACTAATTAAAACGCGTTTCAAGTACATTTCTTGCTCCAAGACTGTAGTGATGTACTCCAGATTGTAGTGTGTATATAAACATTCCAGATTCTACAATTATCTAGTTATTTTCATTTCACGACGTCAGCTAAATAAACAGTGTATTAGTCTATAATTAAGCACTCATCAAAGACTATCACGAAGAAGAATTATATGTTTAGTATTTACTCTTTTGTATTTAATAACTCACGCTGAAAAAAAGTCAAAGTAGGAAATCAACGTTTACAAAAAACTTTAGTTGACTTGTATTATACTACCGATCTAAGACCTAAGATTTCATTTCAAGCGAAACTGAAGTTCTAGAGAAAACTTAAGTTTTGACAAATGTAGGATCCGTATTACATCTAAAATTTGTACAATCTTCTCTAATTTGGTGATACTTTACAGTTTTACTCATAATTGCAATCACAAAATGTCATATATGATATAGCCGGATCTAAGTTCTAAGATGAAATATCATGGCGCGTAAGTTATTGAATTGTGACTAACGACGACCCAAAATACTTTTGAAAATATAAGTCTAAGTTGGAAAATAATGGAAACTCACCTTCCCCCATGTGGAATCTGTTAATGGTGCATCATCTTCCCATGTGTTATTAGGTCTTTTTACACCATTTGTCTATTTTAGAATTTAAGAATAGGAATAGTCTATTCGATAACCATAAAAAGGGATGGAAAAAAATGAAAAAAGTTGCCACTAAATCAGTCAATTAATAATTAATTAATTAATTAATTATGCGTTTGGACTAAGTATACCTGCTTTTTTTCTATGTTTGATGTCTATCATAATGGCAAGCGAAGCAATGAATTCCAATTTTTTTTGTGTCTGCATAAAGATAATTCATTTCAACAGCACAAGCATACCATGTGTTTATTTATTTATTTTCTTTATCCTCCAAAATGTTGTCGCTCAAAGATCACCGGATGAGATGACTTGAAGACATTTTTGATAAAAAAAGAGTCAATTATTTTTTATCTAACTTCGATTGAAAGTTTGGCGGCCAATCGGTTCATGAGAAACATTAACAATCCTAAAAATGATTTCAATCTCCTCCTTGAGCTTTGCAATAAATTGTAATAGCTTTTACCTTTGCGCGTTGTAATTTTGTAACTATTAGTCATTGATATAAGGAGACACCAGCTGAAAAATCCACATCTTGGACAGAACTCTTATCACAAGTAAAAAAATGAAGCATGCACATAGGCCAAAAATCAACATTCCTAACTGAGAAACATACTTAAGTGTCACATTACGAGTTTGCAGTTTGCCAAAAGCCAAAGAGAACATGATATGCATAGATAACCTAAAAAGGCTCCAGAAAAGCCTGACATACCTTATACCAAAAGTGTACAAAAAAAAAGAGCCACCACGATTGGTTTGCAGGTAAACCAAATTCCCTTCTTTCGAACTTATGAGGGATCTATGGTCCCTGAGCTTTCAACACCAGTGTTAATTGCATCAGCGTTGTAATGGGATCCTTCTAGCTTGTTGGGGAGAGAACTTGCATTCTCTGTCCTGAGTTTATCTATGGCATCTAGAATAGTCTTGGTACCTGACGAATAGTTTAGCTTGTCTACTCTCACAACTGTTGCTTTCACACGCTGTTCATCGCTATATGTTTCTTCTTTCACCTTCAGCTTGAAGATGTATTTGGTAAAAGCAACCTTACGGATGATATCTTCGAACTTTTCCTCATCCATGTGTTCATACTTCACATAATACAAATCTTTAGCAGGCATGCCCATTATCTCTTCACCAGCCTCCTGGAAAGCTGTGACCCATGCAAGACCTGTATGGTCCTGTAATTGGAGCTGCAAGATATACCTGTAGTCACATTCATCCACGCATTTATCACACTTTTCGCACCTCCATGTGCCATCTCCATTGTCTGTGACCTTTTTGCTGCATGGACGATCACCGTTCATGATAGGACAAGCTGTGTAGCAGAAGTTGTCAAACTTCATGTATATAATAGTAGCAGTGACTGTAATCCAGTCTGGTTTTTCCGAGGTTCCTAGTTTTTCATCCTTAATTTGAGAAATTGTTTTGTGAACGTCTACTCTGCCATTACCAGAAAACTCCTTAGATATGGAAACACAAGGGACACTCCTCCCTTCTCTTTCAAACCATTCCTTCAGTTTCTGAGCTTCAACGAAATCTGGCTCAATGAACAGTTGACTTGATCCAATGGTGCTCAACGCCTTTCCGTTAAAGTCACTGATCCTGCATGCCTTAACAGCAAGAACCGGAAACCCACCAGAGTCACAGACTCTTTGCAGCTTCTCTCCTTCTGCATTGCAGAAGTTACCCCACATGGTTACCTCAACACTTCGACCTGACATATCCTTCAACTGAAGAGCTCTCTTCTGTGTCTCAGTTCCGTTTTTCCTCATTATCAACCCCGTAGGACTGATCGATGACACAATGCCAATTACATCAACGATGCTGTTACTCTCCATGCTTTCGATATCACCTATGGAACGGAAATGAAACTGATGTCGCGGAATGGCAGCATCTTCCTCGTAGCATTGTTGTATCGTCGATGCATTATCCAGCATGATTTCGTAGTCATTAGAAAGATGATTGAAATTCTTCTGAGCAGGCCTCAAACTCCCCCTTGAAATCAGATAAAGATTACCAACAACGATCTGGTCAAAGAACTGATCAGCCACTGCGTTGAAACAAGTAACCCGTATCTCTCCACTATCAGCATCAAGAAGATCAAAACTAAAAACTTTCCCATCCCCACGCTGATTGTTGTAGTGCCTAAGCTCTCCTTTACTCGTGACCCTGGCCTTGATGGTCCACCTACCCGAATACGGGCTAAGAGCATTGATTGGGATTATCCTAGGAGGAGCATCGTTCCTTGCCACTGGTCCCCTATTTGAATACATCGGTGCTGGTGGTGGAGGATAATTGGTTGGAGGAACACGAGCATGGTCCTGCCTAGAGACTCCATGAACTGCAGATGGATTGTTGTATGCTCGAGTGGAAGGTGTTAGTCCAGGAAGACTAGAACTCGGACCAGAACTAGAAGCAGAACCAAACACTTGTCTTTGTTGACCAACTTGAGGTGACATAGCTACAACACTACTCCCTGTCTCAGCCAATTCAGTCTTATTATTTGACTTATTACCAGAATCTGATCCACGCTGATTACTAGACTTTCCTTTGAATACAGGATGCCCAATTATATCAGACTTCGTTGTAATCACTTCCAGTTGCACAATGACAACAATCCTGGCGTAAAAAAGAAAAAACTTATGGGAAAAAATTGATTTTTGATAATGTACTCTCTTAACACAAGTCCGCCAATTATGAAACTAGAATCTTTTAAGCATTTAACGAACATTAGTCTTCTGTGATTGTACACTCAAATAGTTCATAAGGAATTTTAAAAAGGTCATAGATTTTAAAAAATTACCATTTGTCCTGGATCTTGCTACAGGTGAAATGAGTGAGTCTAACAATGGAACCAACTTGAAGCATCCCACTTTTGACAAGGTTGCTCTGAGTAATCCCGAGCATTCCTTGTTGTAAGTAGGTCCCGTCTGATAAACACATCCTAAACCTCTCCTTCGTCGGATCTTTCTGCTGAGTCTGAACCGACTTCAAATCCATCACTTGCAGAACCGGAACCATCTCTTCCTGGCTCTTCACTTCCTCATTATGTATCTTCTCGATTGCCCCCGCCGTCAAAATCACCTCCATCGTAAACCTAGAGATTTGGATAATCGGCACAGATTCGATTGACCCACAACCCAACAAAAGAGAGAGTCGCGATTCGATAAGGAAAAGAGTAAATCTTCTGATTTGTTTGAATCTTACAGAAATCGAGAGGTTGAGAGAGATGAGCGAAAGGTGAGAACTTTACGCCCCTTTTTGAGAGGGAAACTAAAAAGGTTTGGAATTGTAAATCCATCGAGCCACGATTTAGGTCTTAATTAAGGATTTTCCCCTACTCAAAATTGCCTAGCAAGCTTCTTCGTACATGTTTTACGATCAGAGTAAAGCACAGATATAGGCCCATTAATATATGCTTAGGCCCAAAATAGCCACACACAAAAAAAGACCACACGTGGCAATGTATTGATGAGTCAGCAGATCTCTGAATCTCACTCTCCATCACATTCGCATTGATCAACCCTGTCTGAAAAAAAAATTATATTATTTTCATTTTTAAGTTTTAGTTGCATACACACAAAAAAATCTTCACAACTCACAACGACGGTCAAAGGAAAAAAAAAAGAATCGGATAATCGGGAAATCCGTAAGATTTGATTTCCGGTGACCGTCGTTCAATTTTGCGTTCACCGTGAAATATGGATTCTTTAACTTCTTTGTGCTGAGTAAAACTCACCGGAGAAGGAAGTGAAATGGATTCCGAAGAAACGGCGCCGGTGACGAAGAAGCAAAAGAGGGTTTTCTCTTGTTTAGCTTTGAAGTTCTGTACAGTGATAGTTTTCTCGATCGTCAGCTTCTTCTTCTTGTCGTTTCTATTAGGGATCTTAGTGATTTTCCTCAGTGAATTGTGGGTTTCTTCTTCTTCTTACTCTGCCTCTCTTGCTTCCCGCTGCAAAATTGTTTCCAGCTGTAAGTTTTTTTGGGGTTTTATTGTCTGAATACTTTTTACCTGTATCATCAAATGATTGAAGAAATTGATAGGTTTCTTCTGCTTGCTTAATGGGCTCTTCTTAGTTTATACTAAGCAATTCAATTACCAATGATCTCTGAATAGATTGAAATTGAAAGTTCTCACACTGATTCTGTTTAATCGATAATATTGTGGGCTTTGGGTTTGATGAGTCTTATGTTTTTATGGCTGAGAAGATAGTGAAACTGATGTTGGTTTAACTTGCTTTTGATGTAGCTGTTGATCTTAGGTCTTCCAAAGTATGTGGCATTGGTCTTTTGAACATCAAGGCACAACATGTGTTTTACCCTTTTGAAAGAGATAAATTCAGATGTCGGTATGATTACTATTGGGCTTCTGTCTTCAAGGTGACTTCTTTCTTCCATGTGATTTTAACTATGAACAGTTTCTTCCTTCTTGAAATTTTATTGAACACTGCAGAAGAGCTAAGCTCCATAGCGTTTTAGAATAGATATATTACGTTGCTTTCTAAGATTTAAGCTATATCTGTCTTTTGGTTATAAGTAAACGCCATTCAAATTCACAGGTAGAATATAAAGATCACTTAATGGGGCAAACACGGCTTGCTTTTTCAGAAGCGCCAAATGAAGCCCTTCCTCCTGAGTGCAGACCTAACTTTGGTGCCGCATTGCTTACCAAAGATAACTTCAAGGCAGGTTCTGTTAAACACGTATATTCGTTGACTGGATATTAGTTTTATCTGTTTGTTATGAATCTCATTGTGTTTCGGATTGCAACTTTTTTTTCTGTTTCTCCAGGTGAATGAGACGTACGATTGCTGGTACACATTAGGGATTCCAAAAATAAAGCTTTATCAAGATGGCTTTTTCGGTTGCCAAGCAAATGATCGTTCTTTTACCGACATTTTTAAACAGTACGCTGTCTTGTAAGTTCCTATGCTGTTTCCTTTTGTAGTAGTGTGAAAAATTTCAAACTTACGCATTTCATCATCAATAAGCACATACACACTGTAGGAGAATCATGAAGACAGAATCATCTGTAGCCCAGTTATTTTGGCAGTTGTTTTCTCGGAATCATATAAAAATGTTCTTTGTCTGTTTAGTTTGTCAGTCTTGTCTTCTCTAGGCATTGTTCTTCACTAAATTGATCATCTTTCCATTTGTTTATTCTCCAGATTCTCTAGATTATTACAGTCGTGGTTCAATGGAAAAGGAAGACCAAAGTACTGGAGATATGATGTGATCGCTGGCATTGTATCTGGTTTCTCAACTTCCATAATCACAGTCTTCGTCATGCGAATCTTAAGACATGCAAAATCTTGGGTCCCTCGAGCCTTTTGTTCAGTTAAGAGCCAGTATTCTAAGGTGAATCTCGTGGTACAAATGAAGCGTGCTTGTTTGGTTCTTGTTTACTTCTCTGCTCTTGGATGGATGGCTACACAATACTTGAAAATTCTTTTTCCAAAGGCTTAGAAACAAAAACATTACTTGAGAGAGCCAGTGAGTATGTAAGGATTTTATAGACAGTTGTGTGATGTATTCTTAAATCATTTACAGCAAAAAGAAAGCAATACAGAGAACAGCTTTAAGGATTGGTTGAACAGCTGAAAACAATCTGTTACCCTTTCTTTCATGAAAACTGATGGATTCTTCTACAAACGTTTACGGATCTCAGAAGCAAACAAAAGTTTTGGTGAAAATCTGATTTATCTCATATGTTGGATATTACAACGCTTTTTAAGTAGATACTTGTGATGGATTAGTTGAAGTTACAATGTTTGGTTCCTCAGTTTCTTCTTCTTGATCAGCTTCTGTGTCATCAGTGTCCTGAAGATGATGCAGAGCAACTTTTGGCTTTTTCGCTTTCGAAGAAGTTTCTTCTTTCTCCTCCTCCACGTTCCCATCCTCGGGATCCTTTCTTTTCAAATCCTTGTTTTCTCCTTCAACATCACAACTCACTGGTTTCACTTCTTCTCTCTTCTCCTCATTGCTCTTCTTAGCTTTCCTCGCTTGCTCTTCACATTCTTCAAGGAAGTTTTGTGTTTCAGCATTACCCGCAACATCTGCTGGATTCTTCCCGGCTTTTGTCGTGGCTCGGACATTTGCTCCTTTCTTGACCAAGTACTTAACTAGTTCAAAGTGAGAGCCTTGAGCAGCATAGTGAAGAGGCGTAAGCCCCTTGCGAGTGATAGATTTCACAGAAACACCGACGGATAAAAGAGTTCGCACAACTTCCAGATGACCCTTTTGGGAGGCAAAGTGAATCGCAGCCATATCATCTACTGCTGCAGCGCCAGCATCGGCTTTGTTTTTGCACAAGTAGCTCACCACCTCGTTTTGGCCTGCCCATGCTGCCAAGTGTAGTCTGTTGCTCCAAGAGATCAATGCGTGTTAAGGACAAAGAGATGGACAACAAATGGACTGCAGAGAACATGAAATGTAGAACACATCTTTCATTGCTCTATAATCTATAAAAACCAAATCAAATGTGAAGTATCAAAGATTTAAAAACCCAGAAATAATGTTAACATTGACCAAATCACAATCGTACTTGCCTATCTAAGCCTGTAAATTCCCACAGTGATGCATACAATATAGTGAACTGTGGCATAGATAAAGCTTCAAAAACATATATACTTCATCTTCTTAATAGTTTTTTCCTTATAGGAACCCTTTCCGTGGAACAAAAAAATAAAGAACCCTTTCCAAGTTCACACCAGAAAATCATAATCAAAGACAAGAGAAAGTGAGAAAGGTAAAATAATTGAGAACGCATTTCAACTTGTAACCTCACGAATCTCGAGATGAACCCTAACTAAGGTAGTAGGCAAACAACATTCAGCAAACATAAGAGAACCGAAAGTTTGAAGTAAAGCAAAGAAAACGGCTCGAGAGGATCTCACTTTCATGATCAACCAGAAAATTACGAAGACGAGTGATTTTGCGAGAAGAAGAAAAAGAGAAAAGGATACGGAGTCCGAGAAAGCTTGTCCCTAGAATTAACAGCCAAAGGATTAGAGCTGACAATAGATTGAACTGCCGCTAAATCACCGGATCTCGCCGCGGAGTGAAGATCCGCCGATCCTCCTCCTCCTCCTCTTACACCGCCGCTTCCGCCTACCATTTCGTCTTCTTCACTGCTCCTTCTCCGTCTCTTTGTTCAGCTCTTGGTTTCGTACCAGAGAATGTGGCGGTTCCGGTTCGGGTGGTATCTAAATGGGCCCGGGTTTAACTGCGTAAGTTTTTAAGTTAGGCCCAATGAAAGCCCATTCTATTCTTTTCACTCTCTGCGGATCGCTTCCGGTTACATATCTCGTTCCCAATAACCAGCCAACGAGTTTATAAACATGTTGCAGTCTGACGAGCCAATACAACAGCAGAAAATGGTCAAAATGACATTTTGGTGCCGATTTATTTACCTTTTTTGTAGTAGTGTTTAATCAAAATTATTCGAGGTGTATACTTGGAAAAAAAAGTGTAAAAATAAATATAAAATGAAATGCAGAAAAGCAATTGTATATTGTGCAGAAAAAAAAAAGAATATCAATTATTAAGTTATCAGTCCAATGTGATGCAATTCATGGGACAAAAAGATTAGGTAGGCCGTAGGATAAAAGGATGAGATTGCCAGCTTTGAAAAAAGGGACCAATTTATATATATGTCCAATCTTCATGGGAAGGTTCCTCATATCAAATATATATCGCTTTTTACACCATTTCCAGAAATTCAGATCCTATAAAAACATATAATATTTCGTCTTTCCAAGTTATACAATATGTTATACAGCAAGTTGCATATAATTTGAGTTGTGCGTGCTGCGTAATATGGTGAAATCATCTGATTGATTCATATGATAAAAATAAAAGAAAATAATAATAACTAAAATTATATATTGGAAAATTAATCTTCCAAGCATTTTCACATCTAGTCAAATTATAAACTTATAATGGATTCCCACCTAATAACTCATATACCCATACATTTTAATACTCAATAAAATCTATGAATAATTTGTAGGGTGCTTATTTTAACTGTTTGCTAAAGCCACAATTACAATGAGTATGAAAACAGTGTTTATTTTACATATTTATACAAAATTTATGATAATAATATCAAAATCACTAGAAGTCAGTTCATCATCGTCATACATACGTGTTATTCTCCTAATTATGGCTGTCTTTATATAGTCTAATTTATTTACAATCAAAAGTTTTATGAACATCAATTAAAAAACTTGAAAAAAGATATGGATAATAGAGTTGTGGATATTGTATCCAATTCCATACAGATACGGAGCCCTACGTTTCCACGGTATATGTGATTTATATTAAAAAAAATAAAAATGAAGGACTTTGAAAAATATGCTACATAAATATCTCTATGTAAACATTTAAAGTATTATTGTCAATCAGCAATCGTCATGTGGGGTACAATACAACACGCACTCTTTTCAAGTTGGTACTTTGATTATATCAAACGTCACTACCTCAATAGTAATATTCCATAGTAAAAACGTAAATAAGTCACGATCGATTTGTCCTACATATATTTGTACTACGATTACGATATGGTGGATTTGGCTAAGAATCAAATTATTATGAACGACGTATCATTAGAGCTATAGTTAATTGTTTGTGTCTTATTCACGCGGTTCGTTTGTGTAATACTACATACTACTTGTCAGAATAAAATACGTATACTCTACGTATGTATATGCAATTATTCATATCAATGATGAGTTGATGACTGCCATGTACCTGCCAATGTGTTGTGGATGAGGATCTCATCTAAAGTACTACTGCCATTAAAATCCAAAAAAACAAAAACAAAAACAAAACAAAAAGAAATGAAAAAGCAATTTTTTTTTGTTGTCAGAAACGCAACTTCGTGTAATTTTCATTAGATTCATCTATCCGAATCGGATCCCATTCATCTTTTTGATAAACAAATCAAAGATATAGAACTCACAAAATATAAAGACAAAGCGGCAACATTATCGGGGTTTCTTTATGTTTGGGATCTGCGGGAATATATGCTAATGTTCTGCGAATATAATATCAGCCCCAAAACCAATGTATCAATTTAGATTTTAGACTATACCTAAAAGTTATCGACATTTAGACATAATCAAAATTATCTTTTAATTAGTCCACGAGTATTTATTAATTAATTATCTTTGTAGGTTTGGCAAAACCAGGGAAAAAAGTTTATTGTGTAGGTTCAGCTTTTCAAGAATCTAAGAAATGTATCGGACCCAAATAATTGATTCAACAAGACAAAAACAAGTGACGTGTAATACTACTACCACAAAAATATACCCATTTGGAATGGCTAATATAATAGTTTTATCGGTGACCAATGAGGAAGGAACCATGTATATATGATTTTTTTCATAAGCATTTTAGTTCATGAATTTTACTGTTGTATGTTAAAACAATTTACACACGCATATTATAAGATTTTGAAAATAAATTATGATCCGAAGATGCTCTTTAATATAAAGTTATAAACCATTGAATTGCAATATTTGATCAGTCTATTTGCATCTATGTTTTAACTATTTGACCAAATAAATCATCTATTCTGTGTAATATACTCAACGATATCATATTGATATATATATATATATACAGAGCCGTGCCCAAGATTTTAGAACACGTAAGCAATGTTAAAAAAAAGGCCCTATTTAACTATCAACGTCTCAAATTCATATAACATCAATATGATTTATATAAAATAAATAATAACCAAAATCGTTCTAAATTATATAAAATCAATCATATATAAATAATTCTCATTATTGTTTTTAAATTCACAAAACTATAATAAATATCTATTAATTTATACTAAATATAAAACTTGGTTTAATCTAAACTTTCGAATCATACTTCTTTAAAGTTGATAAATGAACCAATTATTTAAGTTTTTGTTTGTAATTTAATCTAAATTACAAATCAAACCAAATCTAATATTAGATAAAAAAATTATATTGAAAAAAATTCAAACTAAATATAATATTAGATAAGAAAATATATTGAAAAAATACTTAACTATTAATTTATACTACATGAACAAATGTTATCTTACTAATATATGAAAACTAATAATTTTAATTAAAAAATTAGACCCTTTAATTATTTTTTCAAAAATTGGCCCGTAGGCGAATGTTTATTATTGTTGTACATAGGCACGGCCTTGTATATATATATAAAAAGTATTACATTATATATAATACTTTTGTTCTATGACTTCTATCTATTATTTATACGATCGATCAATCAATAGTATATTTTAAATTTTAACAGCAATATCTATTGAAAATTAGTTCTCAATTGGAATTATCGACATGATTACCCCGAGCCAAAGGTGATTAGGAGTCGCCTAGGTTCGAAGACCATGGTTTACCAAAAAAGAAAAGTTGTTAAACGAAACATATATACAGAGCCGTGCCTACATTGAAATAAAAAAGGCAATCGCCTAAGGCCACATCTTATATATTAAGTTCAAAGGCCACATTTAACAAGTGAATTTTAGTTTTCTTGGTTGGTTAATTTGTCTGGTCACTACAAGAAATGTGGGTATTAATAGCATCGGAAGATAGCGTTATTGACAAATATGCTATTGTATACGGAGACAGGATTTTTTCATAGCGTTTATGATTATGAAACGCTATAATTACTATCGCAGGAAAATGGAAACTTTTAGCCGCCTAAATTTGGTGAGCGCGTGCACTTTACCATTGCAGATTAAACAAAATAAACGCTATCTTATTTGTAAAATATCTCCAAAAGTAAATAAGTTTATTTTTTTTCTTCATTTCTCAAGTGACAATCTTATTGTTTCTCGTAAATGTTAAGCGGGATATAAAATTTCAAGTGCCAGCTCTTGCTAAAAAATGTCAAGCGGGAGTACAATAGAAAGATAAAAAATTTATGGTTGACAGAAATATTAAAAATATTTGTTGAAGCAAAATCTGAAATAACAAAAAAAAAGGTTCTTTCTTCCTTTTCGTCACCTCTTCTCACCCTCGATCTATCTTGTTCTTCTATCAATCTCAATCTCTCTCAGTGTCGATCAGTCTCTCCGATCCCATATATTGATTTCTTCTGGAAAATTGTTGTTTTCCCCAAAATTCATGACGATAATCGGAAGAGGAAGACGGTGGTTTGGTTTCAACGCGAGGACTGTGGAGCGAGTCTAAAGAAGCCAGTGCGTTACCGAAGCTGTAAGTACTTAAACCATTTCTATCAATTTTGTGTGGCACAAATTGGCTTAGATTTGAGGGTTTCAGCTATTGTCTTGGCATAAGAGATTGAAGGTGTTTTATGGCTTCGAATTCCATTGAAAGTCAGTAAATTGTGAAGAATCTGAGCTTGATATGTGCTCCAGTTATGGCGGATTCAATAGCTTCCTCTGATTCATTGTTCCATTTATGAAAATGGTCTTGTCTCTTGATCAGGGAGTTGATATGTTTGGAAAAAAGAATTGGCTTTCATTGTTTCATGTTTGTTGTTAGATTCGTGTTTGTTGTTAGATTCATGTTTGTTGTTATTAAAGACTTTAGCCTTATCGAGAATTGAGATTACTCTTTGATTCACTCTCTTTTTCCGTGTTTGTTTCCCACGAGTTGGTGATTAAGCCCGAACTGAAAGAAAAAGCGCTGCGAATCAGATCTTATCGTGTTAGTTTCCTTTCGATTCTTAACCGACTCGGTGTCTCAAGAATTCATTAACGTGGTTAGTTGCTTACGGGTATCAGTTTTCTTTTGATATATTCTTTGTTTTCAAAAGCTGGTGTTGTGACTGGTCATTATGATGAAGCAGTCTAGTAAAAATAACGACTCTGATTCTTGTAGTTGTCTTGTGTATTTGGTTTGATTGGTGTTTATGGGATTGATATTGAAAACAGGACGGAAAAATTAAATCTGAAACTGTAACTGTACAAGGACCTCGTGTTCCTGTGTTTTGTCTCAATCTCAGATAGAAAAGCTAATCTAATCAGGTTTCAGTTTCTGAATATTCTTTCAGTCTCAGATACGAACAAAAGTAGCTTCAAGCAAGATCATGATTTGTTAAACCCTCTTTTTTCACAAATTCGATTGTGATTTTAGGATTGTTATATGTAATCTGATTCACAGGATGATTTTATGCAGAGTAAAGGAAAGCTGAGGAGAGAGATGGAATGTTCTCGTTAAAGAAGAAGAATTGAATTGAAATTTGAAAGTGGTATTGCAATTCAAAGCTAGGACATCATTGGATGAAGTTGAGCTTGTACTGTATAGTTTGATGGCCATTAAATCGCCAATCACCAGATCAGCAAAGTTCCTTAAGGATTTGGCTTCAAATGTATCATTGAAAATCCGAATAAGTAGTAGATCAGTGATTTAGTGTCTTAATAATTCAATAAAACAAAGCTATGTTATCAATAATAATTGTTACGAATTCAATAGTAATTGTTCTTTTTTTGTCTTATCAATCTCTAAATTTGTTACTGCTGTCCAAAACTAATTAAGAAAAAAAATTATCAATGCATAACTAAGAATTATAATTTACAAAATAAAAAGAAAAAAGTCATAATCTTTAATTAGAGTATAGATGATATGATTTGGGGTTTAGGGTATAAAGATATATGATTTAGGGTCTAGAGATTTGATATGATTTTGTATATATATAAATTAAAAAAAAACATTTTAACAAATTATTGATTTAATTTGTTACAAACCACAGATATAAGAAGTAAAAATTTGTGAATATTTGAACTAGAGTTTAAGACATAGGGTTTAGGGTTTAGGGTACAAAAGTATATAGTTTGAAATATACAATTTCAGTTATTAACAATAGACATATAATAAACATTTTTTCATTTATGGATATAGTTTTCAAAAAGTTTAGGTAATCATTTAAAAAAAATTATAAACTCTAAATCCCAAACACAAACCCTAAACCTTAAACTTATTACCCTATAGGATAAAGGGTTTGAATATCAAATTTTAATGTTTCTAACAAGATAATTATAATACACTTTTTCGTTTTCCTCCTCGTCAGTTCTCAGATTTCCGCAAGAAATCACCAGTGTTTCTTCGGTTTTATTCTCCAATATTGATTTTTTTTGAAAACATTAGTGGAGATTCCTTTAAATTTAAGTGAGCAAACATCTTTGATATCGAGAATTTCTAAAGTTTGAAGCTTGAACTGTTATGTTTGCGTCACTTTGACAGAATCATTTGGATGTTAACAGATTAATTCAGCTTAGTTTATGTTAATATATAAGGAGATGCCTTTCTCCACTCTATATCTTCAATCAGTAATCTAGTTTGTTCCAAGTAATCATCAAATTGATCGACTAATGATGTGGTTTTGTGCATACTTCAAATAGGTACTTGACATGGACAGGAATGACTACTACATTGGAGAGTCAACATTGCTTAATCTCAATCAGGTCAGTTTCTCCCTGATGTTTCTATTAAGATTTCTTTTCTTTTTTTGTGTGTGGTAATTTTTATCATTAGCTTGCGTTATTGATGTTGCTTTTTGTTTTACAGCTGTGGAACAAGTTAAGGGGAGAAGAAAAGGCTCCTGCTCATTTAGGCTATAGCAGAGACTACAATGTTGACATGATGCCTAAGGTATGATATTAGTTCAGTCTCCAGCTAATGCTCTCTTTTCTAGCTTAATTTTACAAATACGAGTTACTAATACTGTTATCTCTCAATGTGGTGGACCAGTTTATGATGGCAAATGCAAAGCTTTTTTACTTTACAGGGAAAGAGGTTGGATTTTTGTCACAAACAGCTCGACAAAGTCAAGGAAACAATATGGCAAAAAAGTTTGAATTTCTTGGCCTGAATGTGTAAACGAGGTTTCTCACGCTCCTTTCGTCGAAGATCATGGAACCAGCAGGACAAAAGTTTCATAATTCACAAGCTTAGATGCGGAAATTGTATCAAATTATCTTTTAATTATGTATTTTTATTCTGTAATATGATATTTTGTATCTTGGTTTCATATAATATAATAAATTATGGAAATTTTTTTATAATACCAATTTAATTATATTTATAAATAATTAATAAAACAATTATTTAAATATATTTTTGGATTATTATAAAATAATTTAATAATACAAAAATATATGCTATTGTTGTAAAACAATTGGTATAGATACAACCAAATCATAACAATTATTACACGCTATTATAAATAATAATAATAGCAGCGCAATAAACGATATTGTCGTTTAATTAACTATAGCATCCGTCAAGTCCGCTATCTAAAGTGTCTGACCTACGATGACGGGCGCTTTCAGAGCGTTTAAGGAAACGCTATGTTATGTGATAGATAGCGTTGAACGGCCGCTATTAATACCCACATTTCTTGTAGTGGGTGCATATTTTTATTTTGTTCAAGTTAGATTCTCAGCTGCATGAAAGTATAACCATTTTTTCATCAAATTTTTTAAAAATATTACTGTACATTTGATTACTGACTTTTTAATATAATTTCATTAAAAGGGCCACATTTTAATTTTAGCCTAAAGCCTCAATAATCCTAGGCACGTCACTGCATATATAAAGTATATATTTACAATTTATTAGTGAAGTTTTGGATGTTTCTATAGAGGGATGTACCATGCATATGATACGTGTTCTCGTGATTCTTGCTTTTATTTGTGGAAAAAAGACACCTTTAATTTGTTTTTTTGCAATATTTTCGTTTGTTTGTGTAAAATGCTTCATAATCTGCGTAAGACAAAAAGAGCTTATCGTTCGTATGTAAAGTACAAAAATAGTTATGTTTTAATAACGTATAATATTTAAACAAAAATTTCAAACTCTTGTTACTTTCTTCATCATAAAAATTTCCAGTCATTTCTTTTTACCAATTTCCATATTATTTTGTAAGCGTTATGAAAATTTACTAGTTGTGGTAAGAAAAACTTAAACTTTTTGAAGATCTTCTGTTTAATGACCAAAAACTTAACACAAAAAGGAGGCAAAATCATCTTTTAGGAAATTTTTTGATTAGATTTAAAGAAACAAATAAAATAAAAAAAGGCCAGTTTCACAAATGTTGTCATCACACTCTCTCCCCTTTTTAAAACCCCTCTCTATCTTCCTTTTACCAAATCCACCATTATCACCATAGAAGGAGAGAGATAAACTCAGAGCTCGAGTCCTCCTTCTGATATAAAAACCCTAGATTCCTTCTCTAAAACCCTCAACGATTCCCCACTCAGAGACGACAATGCTCCAACCTTCCTCTTCCTCTCTTTTCTCGAGAATTCTCGGGACTTTCTTGGTTTAAAGATCGTTGTTTAGTTGCAAAGAAAAAAAAGAATCAGAGACAATCCATTGTTTTTTTCTTTCTCATTGCTTGCCATGGAACTGGGTAAATCTCGATTGAACTCCTGCAATTGCTTTTCTCCCTCTAGATTCTCCGATTATTCTTTAGCTGGAAGTGATTATCCAGACGCCATAGCCATGAATTTCGATTGTATTCCCAAACCTTCTTCTGTTTCTTGTATCATCATCGCTCACGATTTCTCGTTTTTCTCTCTTCTCCTTTCAATTCGATGCTTATAAATAAACTCCCAAATCTCTCGATTCAAAATCTTGATACGAATTTCGTCTCCGAAAATCTTTAAGTCATTTCTCTGTTTCTTCTCATCGGAAAAAAAAAAACAATGTTGTGTGCATCATCTTCGTTTGCTCTTTTGGGTCCTGCATCAGCTATGACTATGGCTTCTACACCAGTTTCCAGATTCGTTGGATTCGGTGATCGTACTACTCTCAGGTGATCTACTAATCTCTCTTTCACTTTTGCTCATGTTAATCTGATCTTCTTGTGAAAGATGTTTAGAGTTTATATATATACATCTTTGCAATTTGGTAGAAATCCGCCATTGGGATACATGGGTTTATGTTCTTTACGGTCATCAGGTATGATCTTGATCAACGTCGTCGTTGTTCTTGGAATTGGATTGAAAAGAAGAAGATGAATCCAGCGATTAGAACTGCTTCAGCTTCTGCTTACCCTCTCTTTCTCAATCAGCTTAAAAAAGACTCACCACGACCCAAAAATTACAAAGAGGTTCAATGAAGCTGCAATAAGAATTGAAAAGAGGATAGATTGTTTTTGTTTTTTGGCTTTTCACAAAGAGGGTTTTCTCATGTTGCTGTTTCTTGATTTACTTCAATTACAGGTCACTAAGCCAGCCCGCCAAATGTTTGCTCGAGAGATCTCTAAATCGAAAGATAGTGAAATTTCGATTGCAAAGGTATATAAGAAATTTCTCTTGTTAAGGTATAATCCCTGTCTCTTGATGCTTTGCTTGAGACCATTATTGAACATGCGTTTAGTACTGGTTTGTTGGACCTCTTTAAAAGTTGCCATAATTAGGTCTGCTAATTTGATAAAGAACACTTTTTGGTGAAGTTTTCATTTATGTCATATATGTGTCAAGCTTTTTACTCATTTATATATGGAAATGGACTCACACAGGTTCTGTTGTACATTGCTGCTGAAGATGAAGCCTTCTTGGCTTTTAACCGGGAGAAGGATGCTCGGTATTTCATGAAAGAGATGGAAATTTTCCTAGATAAATCTGATCCGAGCAAGAAAGACTCTGAGGACCGGGAAAGTGTCCAAGATCAATCTGATCTTAGTGAGACAGATTCTGAGGAGCTATTGCAGTTAGATGGAAAGAGTATATCCGAGTGGCTGAGTGAACTAGATGCAATCTCCAAAGAAGTAGAGGCAGAATTAGTCTCACGAGGCATCGGCTGCCACTCGGTTCAAGTTCTCGAAGCTGTAAATGCAATTCTCTTCGATGTGAGAGGCTTCGAGAGAACATCTATCACTACTTTAGAGCCGAAGTATTCCTACCTTCACTCTGTACTTGACTGTAGATGCGGCACTGGTAAAAGTTTCTCCTTTTCGCTGTCTCGAAACGAGTTTCCCCCTTCTCTCTTTTATTGCCATTAAATCTTCAAGGGGTTTTTTGTTATCTTTCATGTGCAGCATTTTTGTTTAGTGTAATATACATTGAAGTTTGTCAGCGCCTCGGTGTGCCTATTGTGGGAGCTCGAGTTGGGGAAGATTTTTTGATTTGGCCTAAAACGGAGAATCCTGAAGAACTCTTTAAAACAACTTCAGGACAGAGCTTGTTTGCTATTGTCAATGGAAGGTGTGTTGATGATCCTGGATCAATGGCATCAGATTTAACCGGAAAGTCACTTCTTGACCTCGATATTGCGACAAACAGAGACATAATAGGGATTGCTCTCGCCAATTTGATTGTAAGTCCTATCACCTATATACTAACTATACGTTCTTAACTCCAAAAGATTTCACATTTTGACACAGATTCTATTATATTACCTTTGGTTCGCTTTCAGAGGGTTCACTGGAGACGTGCTTCGAAGCCATCCCCTGGACTAATGCTGACTTCTCCTCTACTTAACAACTTCTGTATTTCTAGTGATCCGGTGTTGCGGCCTCAAGATCTTAGGTACACAACTTCTCGTACAGGTTATGCCATTGAAGAAGAAAACTCTTTAATTTATCCATCTAACATTCGGTTTCTGCTGATCAAAGGTTGGCTATTGCGGCTGCAGAAAGGCTGATGATTTTGGAACCTCATAACTTGCGACTTCGCAGAGACTTTGGTATGATGCTCTACTACAACAGGTAAAAAAAAAAAAAAACACCTACCAAGTCATAGATGAGAAAGATTGGGTTTTTTTTTGTTACTTGTCCTGGTTCTGTATTGCTCGGTTTAGGTAGAAGGAATAAAAAGATAAGTATGTTAAGTTGTTGAAATGGTTAATTCTTTGACCAGGCAATACGGAGAGGCGATTCAAGAGCTGAGCATATGTATGGCCTTTGCATTTGATGAAGAAGACGTAAAAGTGTTAAAGCTTTTCGTTGAGAAACTTCATCTCCTTCGTCTGATCTCTTCATTGAAGTCTCCTCTTGGCTCTGATCGCTTGACCGTTCCTTGACTTGTCTCTCTCTCTCCTCCACTTGTAAATACTCTTGTTGTCTTTTTCACTGTGTCTCTATTGTGTTTGGAAAACCCTTTGCGGGAGACATGGAACTTTTGTTGTCTGTAACTCTTACTTTTCTTCTGATCTGAGTAATAATAATTGATTTCCCCATGAATCCATTTTTTCCCTGCTTTTCAGGGTCCTTACTATCCGGTTGGGCCTTAACTTGCAACTCAGCTTATTATTGTATGATGACAAGTGCATATTTTTCGGTTTTTATTAGATTCTGTGGTGACTCAACCTGACAATCTAAACCACTACCGATGACAATTAACAAGGTTTCAATTTAAATATAGATATTATATTGAAACCAAATTTATTTTAGGAAAACTATACTTCCAGGCACTATATAGTATATATACATTAGAAATATATTAAATTGTGATTTTTTTTAAATGGAAACGTTTTTTCCAAAACATATCAACCCTTGAATCTAATATGCGACATTGCAAAACTTGTACCATTACTTATCATCCTTTCATCATATTTTTGATGATTATGCATGCATTTTAAACAACCAACTCTACTATGAGTACCTGCAAAAATATTAAATAATTGCTGGCGATACAATCCATTTATCTGCTTTTGTTTGCTTACTATTTAAAGCCCGACCAAAGTGACAAAATTAATCGTAGACATGTTTAATTCCTCCTTTTATATACGTGACGTTTTTATAGTTTGGTATTAGCAGCCTTTTTTCATCCTACTTTGGTGTTATAAACACTGCCTTTTCCATCCAATATGCTGAGTTATCCGCTTTCCAAATTTGTTAGTAAAATTCCGACCATCAAAATTTTAACCAAAAAAAAAAAAAAAATCCAACCATCTTCCCTATTAGTGTATTATTAGGCCTAATCGACTTCCATTTTTTCTAATTAACAACTAAATTCGACATACATATCCAAGAGATTGCTATAAGCCTATAAGTTATAGATTTGTTATACAAGATTCCGTTTAACCAATGTTTTTAAACCCGACCCGGAATGTTTTTCAGGTTGCCGGGTCACTGAATTAACCTGGATTAATCCGGGTCAACCGCGAATCAACTAAATATATATATTTGTTATGTTTTTTAATAAATTTTATCACTTTTCTTACATTTTTTCTGTTGTGTAAAAAAAATACAAATTTTGTTAAAACGTTTTGTCACTAAATCGCATTAATTATCATATATCTTTTTAATTTTTTTTTAATAAAATTTAAATAAAATATACACTAAATATAGTGATCATATTAACTATATTTTTGAACATTTATAATTATATATTTTATTATATATTCTTTTTCCTTCTATTTATTTTATTTTTTAAACAGTTAATTTTTTTACTAGAAAATTTGATATTATAAAACTTACAATTGTATAATGGTGAGAAAGTAACAAACCATTTAATAAAATATAGAAAAACAAACCATTATTACTACTAAAAACATTAAAATAAAAGTATATTAATTATAATCATAAAATCCAAAAATAATGTAAAAAATTCTAGCAATATTTTTTTATTTTGCTACTGTCTCGTTTTCTTCATCTTGTGTTACTCTAAGTGCTCTGCATCTTGTTCTAATTTTATTTTTCAAAACTATATTTTTTTTAAAAAAATATCATATATTCATAAATAAAATTATAAAACTATTAATTTTTTTCCAAACCAGAAACCCATCCGGATCGGGTTTTTACCGGTTCACCAGGTTTAAATGGGTTTTTCTGGATTTAAGCGGTTTAATAGGGATTTTTAACAAAAACCAAACCAAAAATCTTGTTGGGTCTCGGTTTAACCTGTCGAACCGTCTGGTCTGATCCGGGTCTGAAAACATTGCGTTTAACATAACAGTTGAATTGCAAGACAATATCTGTAACACCCCGACCCGCCGAGTCGGTTGTTACGATAAATCAATTTCCGGTTTACTTAAATTAAATAATTTTTCTTAATTAAGCCCATCTTTAATCTGTTTTTTAGTCTCCTGCGAGCCCATTAATCTAACTCATTAAGCCAGGCCATCTAAATTAACCCAGCTTATCTAAATTAACCCTAAATACCTTTCTAATCTCTCATTCTCCATTTTGGAAACCCTAGCCACATTCTCCTCTTCTCTTTCTCTCGGCCACGCCATCCTCCTTCTCTCTCTCTCACCGTGGCTCTCTCCCTCTATCTCTCTCTCTTTCTCTTCCTCTCTCCCTTGGCCGCTGCTTTCTCCGCCTCCATCAGCTACGCTCCCTCTTTCTTCTCTCTTAAACCCTAGCCGCCGCCGCCTCCTTCCATGACGTTTTTCCGGCGAACCGTGTGGATCCACGAGACGAGTTACCTATCAATCTGTAGCCCCAAGTGTCAGCTTTCCAAGGAGACCGAGTTCATCCAGATCGGAGATCTATGCCAGGAGATATCGTCATTTTCGTGTCGGGTGTCCAGATCTACTTTGTTGCTAAGGTGAGGATTAGATCTAGGTTTTCTTTTTATTCCTTTGTCTTCTTCTGGTGTGTGGAGTCTAGACCTGATGAGCCTAAGATGTTTCCTTGTGCATCTAGCTAGATCCATGTGTGAGTCTCATGAAAAGATCTAGGGTCTTATTAGAGGAAAAACCAGCATGTTTGATTGTTCACCCTGATGTGTGGTTAGTGATTGGTAGAGTAGCTAGATCAGGTGTTCATCTTGGTGATGGTGTGCCGAGGTATGGACTTGTTTGCTGGGCTATTGCTGTCTGTGTGACTATAGCGATAGTTCAACGGTGAGCGGAAGGTACACTGATCCTTCCGGAATCTGTATGGCTGGAGGTGTGTCTGTATGACTGCCTGGTATTATGTCTGTGTGACATGGGAGATGATGTCCTAGTCTGTGTGATTAGGAGGTGTGGCCTTGTGTGATAGGCGGGTTGGAGACACCATTGCTTGCTAGTTGTTTGTGCATCGCTAGGATGCTTGTGTGTTGCTTGTTGGATTTATTCTTGACATGCTGGTTGGAAATAAATGAGTGGGAAGGGAGTCTGATCTGGTTCTCACTGAGTAATCCCCATTACTCACCCATTCTCTTCCCTTTGTCTTATCAGGTGTAGGTGAAAGATCAGTGATAAGACAAATCAGTATAATGCTTTTGAAGCTATAAATGATCCAGATTGTTATTAACGGATATAGAGATCTAAAAAAATATATCGACTGTATACGAATATTAGAATACAGATCATTTATATTCGTAGACTAGAACTGCAAATAGCTACCAATTTAAGGATACTTTTAGGTTCACATAAAATAAAATATATTTTTCACTGAACCAATCATTGATATTTTTATTTGGTAAACGTAAATTTAATAAAAAGCCCCACACACAGAGTTCTTGCGTCACGTGATTTTCAGTTTAAGTTTTAAAACTTATGAATGATTAGCATAAAGTAATTAAAATTAGAATATTCAACAAAGCAAAACCAAAAATAATCTTACAAGCAATCCTCCTCAACAAAGGAAAAGGAAGACAAAGCAATCATTTCCATGCATTATTAGACTGCTACGACATTATGTTTCTAACATTTGTATAGCTTGTAGATGTAGAAGAAAAAAACACATAGTAACCGGCAGATATAAATATTAGAAAGATAAAAGAGCTAATAAAATTAATGCATACAACATTCTATACATATAAAACTTCAAAAAAAAAACACATTATATACATATATTATTGGCGCCACCAATTATGTCAAGATTTTCGAGCCCTTGGACTTCATCATCATTTGTCTTGGTTTTGTTATTAAGGGTAAATAGCAAAGAGTACATGAACGAACGGAAGCACATATTGGTGTGAGAATCGAGCTGCAATTAAAGCAAAGTTAAGAAAAAGATGATCAGTTACGTTGGATGATATTGCTTCTTCTTTTTCTTTCCACATCAGTTCATGCTTTTCTTGAGTGTTAAAGAATACAAACTTTAACTACTAGGCCCATATTAACATATATTCTACGCTTCATAAGGGGGAATAATGTACAATTTAAGTTTAAGGGTGAGATTTGGTAAGATAATTTTTTTGTTTTTGTTTCAAGTGTTGGTAAGATAATCGTTTAAGCTAAATCACATAAAAGTTAATTTTGATATGCAAGTTTGGTATATATCAGTTTAGTTTGAATTATAAGACGAGTTTGGTGTTAGTTTGGGAAATGAAACACGTATCTAGAACGTAGGAATAACAACACATAAGTATATGAATTGTGTGCATGCATCAATGGTCTTACATGGATAAGTACTTAAAGAGTGGCGATATCAATTTCCAAACACGCAACACTTGTACCATTACCTGTCATTCTCTCTTCCTATTTATATCCTCTCTAACTAATCCATTCCTTAACTAATGAATTGATATCAAAAAGAATTTTGTTTTATGCAACCTATATTCAAGAATATTAGTTCAAAAGAGAATTGTTATTAGTTAGTTTGAATCCCGACCAAAGTGACCGAATATATCGACTACATGTTTCATTTCTCCTTTTATACAACGCGACATTATAGTTTGGTGTGCGTAGTTGTTGAATCTTACTCACAATCACAACTTTTCTGTCTACATTGTTCAAAAAAAAAAAAATGTTACATTGTCCAAAATCTTATATAATAATTAGAATACAGACATGTTATTAATATTTTGTAGATTAATTAGAATAGTTTTGATACTTACCTTAATACAAAATAAATAAAAAACACACTTGCATTTACGATATCTGTGTCATCGTCTATAATAAACTAGAATACAGACAAATTAAAATTTTATAGATTAGAAGTTTAAAACTTCACATAATGACGACCAACAAACCAAAGGATAATAAGTAGCTTCACATTTTTTTTTTATAGAAAATTTTTAATTTTCACAAAAAAAGAAATGATTGATTTGTCATTTCAGAATAATTATTTTAAATAGCCCCACACACACACATACACTCATCTACCTTCACAGGCTTCAACGTGGAGCAAAAGAAAGTAAAAAACAAAGCAGAGCAATGGACTCTGTTTCTTCTTCTTCCTTCATCTCCACATTCTCTCCTAAACCCTCTCTTCTTCGTCACCGATCTTCCTCTCACCTTCTCCTCCGCATCAACTCCGCCGTCATCGAAGAACGTTCTCCGGCGACTAACCCAAGCGAAAACAATGGTCGTCGTCGTCAAACCACTCTTCCTCCTAGAAAACCTAAAAAACTCCACAATCATCGGAATCCTCACACCGCAATCTCATCTCCGGCGAAACTCCGACCAGAAATGAATCTCGCAACAGCTCTCTTCACCACCGTCGAAAACGTCATCAACACGTTTATCGACCCACCGTCACGTCCTTCCGTCGATCCAAAACACGTTCTCTCCGATAACTTCGCTCCTGTTCTCGACGAGCTTCCTCCAACAGACTGCGAGATCATTCACGGCGCTCTTCCTCCGTCTCTTGACGGCGCTTACATCCGTAACGGCCCGAATCCACAGTTCCTCCCTCGTGGTCCTTACCATCTATTCGACGGTGACGGTATGCTCCACGCGATTCGAATCCGCCGTGGCAAAGCCACGCTCTGTAGCAGATACGTCAAGACTTACAAGTATAACGTGGAGAACAAGACCGGAGCTCCGGTTATGCCTAATGTGTTTTCCGGATTTAACGGCGTACCGGCGTCTATGGCTCGCGGAGCTTTAACGGCGGTTAGGGTTTTAGCTGGACAGTATAATCCAATCAACGGCATTGGATTGGCTAATACCAGCCTCGCTTTCTTCTGCAACCGTCTCTTCGCTTTGGGAGAATCCGATTTACCCTACGCCGTCCGATTAACTTCCGGTGGAGATATCGAGACGATCGGACGGTGTGATTTCGACGGGAAGTTAGCGATGAGCATGACGGCTCACCCGAAAACCGATCCTGAAACCGGAGAGACTTTCGCGTTCCGGTACGGTCCGGTTCCGCCATTTCTAACGTTTTTCCGGTTCGATTCCGCCGGTAGGAAACAGAGAGACGTACCGGTTTTCTCGATGACGTCTCCGTCTTTCTTACACGACTTCGCGATCACGAAACGTCACGCGATTTTCGCGGAGATTCAGCTCGGGATGAGGATGAATCCGATGGATCTGGTGTTTGAAGGAGGATCTCCGGTTGGTACAGATAACGGAAAAACGCCGAGGATCGGAGTGATTCCGCGCTACGCCGGAGACGAATCGGAGATGAAATGGTTCGAGGTTCCTGGATTCAACATCATTCACGCCATTAACGCTTGGGACGAAGACGATGGAGATTCGATCGTTTTAATTGCTCCGAATATTATGTCGATTGAGCATACTCTGGAGAGGATGGATCTGGTTCACGCTTTGGTGGAGAAGGTGAAGATCGATCTCGTCACCGGAATCGTGACACGTCATCCGATCTCCGCCAGGAACCTCGATTTCGCCGTTGTTAATCCGGATTTTGTCGGGAGACGGAGCCGGTATATTTACGCGGCGATCGGAGATCCGATGCCGAAGATCTCTGGAGTGGTGAAGCTCGACGTGAGCAAAGGAGATCGGGACGATTGCACGGTGGCGCGTAGAATGTACGGGACAGGTTGTTACGGTGGCGAGCCGTTTTTCGTGGCTAGGGATCCTGGTAATCCGGAGGCGGAGGAGGATGATGGTTACGTGGTGACGTATGTTCACGACGAAGTGGCCGGAGAATCGAGGTTTCTGGTCATGGATGCGAAATCGCCGGAGCTTGAAATCGTCGCCGCCGTGAGGTTGCCGCGAAGGGTACCGTACGGATTCCACGGGCTATTTGTGAAGGAGAGTGACCTTAGTAAGCTTTAACTATAGTCTATAGGTAACTAAAACAGGTTTATACAATAATTAAGTGTTCTTAATCATGTTCGATACAGTGGAAACAAAACACACAGTGTTGTTACATTTTAAACATTAAAGTATACATAGTTTGGTGGTGGTCGATGTATATAAAAATATATCAAAGCTTATAAAGATTCTTCTTTCTTTTAAATATTCTAATTCTTTCCTTGGCAACAAAGCTTATAATATTTCTATGGTTCAACTTCCAATCATAATATGAAAAATTCTTGTGATACACTAAAAATTTGAAGCACCTTGGAATTATGAGTTAACGGATAATGAACATAAGTTATCTGATCCGTTGGACAGATAAATTAGGAAACGTGAAACAGATTTTGTTAAGAGTGGTAGGACCAACGAGACATTATTCTGAGCATGAGGTTTGGATAAGGATATGGCCCAACGTCAGTTATTCATTTAAATGTTTATGTGTATTGCCTTTTAAATAGAATCTGTTTTAATCGGATTATTGTAATTGATTTTATTGGGTGTTGTCGAATCAGAGCAACAAGAGGCCAAAAGCAATAAACGAAAGAGAGTGACATAGATATATCTATGTATGAACAATATATTTTGTTTTTTTTTCGTTTTGTTGGAGGACAAAGGTTTCAACTATTTACTTATGGATTAAGCCATATTTACAACCAATGGCTGAGATTAATTTAAATAATTGTTTCTGTCCAAATTTCGGGATCAAGTTTCACGTGATGAATGAACAATATTTGACGTTTATGGCAATAAAAACGATTGAGACAGACTCGATCGTTTCATCACATAATTGAATCAATTAGATCAATTTTTTTTTTTTTACTTGGTGATCCATAAGGTAAGGCCAGAACTAGTCTCTACAATGATTGCCACTAGACTACTTAAGCAAAGGTATGGTTATCTATGCGACTAACAAGAATCAATCTGTCGACTTGACCAAATCTATTGAAATAGATTTCATTAGGATAAAAAAAAAATTATTTGGCAATCATATTTTCTGAACTTAACCCATTACCACAAGTTAAACATTAATAGTGGTTAAGGATGCGTTGAATGAAAATCAGTTTATGGGTTCAACCAACAGATTGATACAAATATCCAAAAATCTAAACCTTATATTTGAAAATATATGATCCATAGGAAGATTAGTCATTGTTCAGGTGATTGCTCTATATATCTATATGCCAACCACACACACACGATGGTCCCCAGAGGATTTGAGTTCTATAACCTAGCTAACATATGGACATTGTTGAATCCCAGTTGGATATTTTCATGAAAAAATGACACTTTTAGCCTCGAATCTTGCAATGAAAAATGAAGTCCAAAGCATAACAGATTCTATTTTTTTTTTATCTCTCTTAAGAATTGATGATAACACATGTTTTCAAAATCTCAAAAACATTATCAAGATAATGAATGAATGTCTCTATTAACATGGATAAAATTTTCCACATCTAATCAATTCACCTGGTTGGCATCAATAATTTGATGGGTTGTGTTCGTTGTGTTATCTATATTCCCAAAAAATCCAAAACATTATCAAGTGATGAAATGTAGTAGCATAAATGACATTTTTGACGTTTTCACTTCATATTTATATATTGTGATTTTGAAAAAGAAGACAATAATTTGTCAGCCTTATAGCAAATAAACGATGAATAAAAAACATTTTCGATTTTCTATCAAATCAACGAAGTCTAGAAAAAAAATAGAGATACATATTGGCTGCGATGAAATATCAGAGATCAGATACATTGACTGCGAGGGATGAATTTTGAGTCGAGAAATATATTATGCCACTAAACCCTTAAGCTCCCGACCAACATTTTCTAGAATGATGCACAGTGCACACACTTGGGCGAGGCTTCAAACAAAAACCTAACATTTGACTTTAATAGATAGATCATTAAAATGTTAAGTTTGTTGTGTTCTATAAAATCTCAAATGTAAGAGCAAATGAATTGTTATTTATTTGTAGTTATCTCATGTAGTCATGCTTAGTCTGCGATCATAAAATTTACGTGGAGAGATCGCAAGGAGCATTGCCATACAAAAGAGACTCCTTTTACAATTCCTTTTACTCAAATTTGGTCAAAAACTACAAAACATTATCATACATCCAATGCTATCATTTTACGTTCAAATCAAGTTAATTTCAACACATTATCAACCAAGTAGTTCTTGATCTCGTGGTTTCATTGAGAGTGAAAAACCCTAGTTCGACTTCACTTGCCAGGAAACTAGGACGCTTATTATCGAACGTTTCATGGATCATCTATCATTTCATATGTTTTGTTGAGGAAATCAACCGAGATTCTCGTTAATCAATTAGATCAAATATATTATTGCGGAAAGGCAAAAGAAATAATATATCTCAGTATCTGTTGGGATAAATAAATTTGGAACGTGAAAAAGATTGTGATTGAGTGGTAGGACCAACGAGACATTATTATGAGCAAGACATGAGGATGAGGTCGGGATACGGATATGGCCCAACGTCGATTTATAGCAAACAACCATGGATTAAAAATGTAACCTCTTTCATGTATCGATGTTTATTTATTTTCTTGTAAAATAAAATCTTTTTTTTTGTTATCACGATAAGCTTGAAATAAACCCATTTGTTTGAATAATTGTGATTGATTTTTGCATTTTGGGGTGTTTGTGTCGTCGAATCAAAGCAAATAAGGGGCCCAAAGCAATAAAAGAACGAGAGTGATCGATACGGGAGAGACACACCGCTCTACATTTACCCTTTCGTCTGAGCCGAAGGTTTTCAATTATTTACTTGAGGATTAAGGCACATATTACTACCAATGGCTGAGATTGGTTTAAATAACTTCTGTCCAAATTTCGGGATCAAGTTGCACGTGATGAGTGAACAATTTCAACGTAAGAACAATATTTGACATTTATGGCAATGAATACTATTGAGACAGACTCATTATTAATCAGATAAGATGTTTTATTTTTGGCCAATCGATTCTCAAGAATCAAACCCACAACTAATCTCTAGATTTACAAGGACTAAGCTAGTTAAGCAAAAAAATGGTTAACAATGCCACTAACAAGAATCAATCTGTAAACCTGACGCAAAACTATTGAAAACAGAGATCATTAGGATAAACATTTTAATATGGTAATCAGATTTTTTTAGCCGAACTACAAGTTAGACTTTAAGAGTGGTTTAAGGATGCGTTGAATGAAAATCAATCTATGGATTCAACTAACAGATTGATAAAAAATATGCAAAAATCTAAACCATATATTTGAAAATGTGATCCATAGCAAGATATTGTTCAGGTGATAGTTACTATGGTATCAAAATGCCAACCACACACGATGGTCCCCAGAGGAATTTTGAGCTCTACAATCTAAGGACAATGTTGTGATTGAATATTTTCATGGTAAAGGAAAAGACACCTTTAGCCCCGAATCTTGTTGAAATGAAGTCCAAACAAATAACAGATTCTAATTTTGTCTTCCTTTAGATATGATGATAGAATCAGGGAGTAGAAAATGAGCACTTACAAGGGTTTGGTCTAGGCTTGAAACATAAACCAATCTGTCTGAAACGGAATCAACTCTTCTCTTTCTAGCTGCTCAAAACTGGGAAACTGTGCGATGGCGAGAACTTGGACCGGGGTCTATACAAGAAAGAATTTGGAGAAATGCAAGAAGGGTAAAGCGGAAGAGAGAGATAGATAGTTGAATTGGGGTTAAATTAGTAATCATATAAGTATATCGTATAGAAAGAATTACATGTCAATTGAAACATTGGAAATATTTTGCTCTCATATTTTTTTTATAAAGATTCTATGATACTGGAAAAGATGGAAATGATGTGGAAGTGATAAAACCGTACCAAAAAAAGTCTTCTCCTACATCTTGAGCATGTGTGCATCAGCGAGCGACGAACTAAGATCTTCTCGGGATTGTGATCTCCGGCTTTGGAGACGCATTTGACTCCTGCGAGGGGAGGACCAGAAGGAACTAGTGCTGTCAACTTGCATTTCCCCTAAGCTATCAGAAGAATAACTATGCATAACGCAGCTACTCGATGAGTACAGTGAAGATTCCATAAGCTGTATGCTGCTTCCAAAACTAAATGGCCTACGCGGTGATCCCCTGACTGTTGGACTCAACGGTGTCTTTACCCCTGAAAGAAAAATGCTTCCGAGAATCAAATTACTGTATCTTTTAAGAAAAGGAAATCGAAGACATAAGACAGAAAATGTGAAAAACTAAGAACTGAGAAAATTGGCAACGTGAAGAGCTGAGAACCGAGAACTGAGAAATGAACTAGCCATAACTAAAAGATTTGTAAACTGAATTACCTGTACTCATAGGACTCCATCGCTGGAATCTGAAGGGAGACGGAATGTTAAGAACAGATGAAGCTGAGGCGCTATTGTGTCTAAAAAGTGGGAGATAGGACTTTCTAAAGAATCTTGGCATACAACTGCTGACGCGTGATAGTGCACAGAGAAGCAGAAGCAGTGAGACGAGCAAAACAGATATAAGCGCTATTGGGTTTATCTTCATGCTGAGAGTCTCATAGCTCTTTAGTCCCAATGTAGAAGATAGAGCCTTCCCTGCTTCCAGAAGAGCTACTCCGAGTGTCCAAGTTATACTTCCAGACCCAATTATGATCTGCTTATCTGTAATATATAAACCTTCTCGTAACAGGGAGACTATATATGGCGCTCTAAAGCAGTACTGTTCAATGAAGGGTTGTGGAGAAACACTGGTTCTGGCTACTTGCCATGCCTTTTCACAAAACTCCCTACCCTTTTCCAAGACATCATCGAGGGAAGCTTCAGCACTTAAATTGAAAAAGCGGTACACGACGAAGAATCCGGATACAGCATAGAACTGGCCATGAGGACGAGGGTAACCATCAGGAAGAGCGCAAGGCTGCAAATCACAATCGATTCCATGTTTTGTGTTTGACCATTCAGAGCTATTAACAGCATTTTTTGCCAGTGCACTGCACTCTCCCCAATTTGGAGCACCAACGAGCTTGATAGGAACTCCTGACTTCCTTTTTTTACCCCCTTGGACACTGGAAGCACACTGAGAACATATGTACTGTCCTTCGTACCCAGAATTCAAGCAAGGATGTTTCATTTCCAGCTTTCCTTCAATCAGATCAGATTTATTGACATTTGGTAGCCTCTTTAGAAGATGAACAACAGACCTTTCAAACGCATCGTTAAGACCATATCCCGCGAGAGAATATGCACTAAGATGATGGTTAACGGACCCAATTCTGAGATTTAGGTTGGTCTCATTATGCGTTCGCTCCTCATTCTCAAAGGTTACCTGCAATGATGAGCCACCTAAGTCAAGTGCACCAAATGTTGCCTTCTTCGGTAGGGCTCCCAACATGCTTGTTTGGTAATTAAGAGCGGTCCATCCAAAATAAGCTTCCTCTGTACCACTAATGATCTTAACCCACTCCCTCCGGCAAGTGAAGGGCGACTTCGCCAGTATCGACCACACATTACCTAAAAGCCAGCTTGAATCAGAAGCACGGAGCCTCCTAACCCCCGCTGTTGCATAAACGAAGAGAGATGTCCTTCTATGAGCATGCTTGGGGATTTGCTTCTCTGCCCACTGAATAAGGGGTTTTATGGCAGTTTTCAAGCCTGATCTGTTGTTTACAAGCTTATCAAACCCAGGTTCTGTCTCCATACGATCATAAGCACGGCCACTACTCTTTCTAGAGATACCTTCTGTCAAAGATTTCATAACAATCGGGAGACTACTATCTTTCTTGTAATTTATCGATGCCTGATAAACATATGCACGAGTCCCCGTGCTTCCGCAGTCAAACACAACATAGTATCTTGCTGCACCCCGGGACCAATTCGTATAAATATACATGGAGACTACATACACCAGAAAAGCAAACAGAAACAGGCACAAAACGATCATAACCGCACGGATCAATTTACGGCGAATAGATGTGTTGTTCCCATTCGCCACACCTCCCTTTTCCTTGGAGAAACTAGATCCATTTTGTCCCCATGATATATTTTCCCGAGCAAGAAAGGATTCTTCAGGATCAAAACCATGATACGAAGAGAAATCTTGGAGAGACGCTGAGTGTCTCAAACTATTCTTTCGTCCACCATTTCCAGAACTGATGGAATCTGGCACTGATGTTCCTACATCCGGCGATGAACCAGTAGGCATATATGGAACAGAAGGTTGTGTACTCGTTGAAAATCGACTCGATGCAGCAGTGAAAAGTTCAGTGATCCTACCAAAAACCATGTTTCTTGCCTACATACACCTCAATCTGCTATACTCAAAGCCTACTTGAAGAAGAAGCAAAAGTTGCTCAAAGGGAACTAAACAACTCAACACGACCTTCAAAAATTGTCAATGGCGGCAAAAGAGTGAATACTTGCATGAATTGCAGAAGCACAACAATGTCTTCTTCAGCTATCTGCACAAATCAAATCAAATGCATTCGACAAAGAGATATATCAGCAAAGGTAGCAAACACGATAACCACAGAATAAACAATTTTCCGGGGATCAATCGAAAATCCCAGAAAAGAGCTCGAGTGATTCACAAATCAATAAACACAATGAAAAGAGCGATCTGCAGTTAAATCGACATTGCGATAATAAATAATCCATGACTCAATCATAAAACAGAGAAGTTAGAGTAAGATACCAGAAAGACGCATTGGCGAAGAAAGAAGAGAAAAGTCCAGCCACCGTCAAAGCTTCCCCAGCACTAGATCTCGTATGACGCTGCGTCTACGAAGCACAAAGCGGATATACAATACAATACAGGAGTTAATCAAACGAATCGTCTTCCTCGTACAAGACAATCGAGAATCTCCAGCAGATCTGACAAGTATCGGGCTAAAACCACGACTCGGACCAGAGAAGACGAAAGAGAGATCCGTTTTGTGCAGAAAGACCTCTATGCCTTTGTCCACAACAGAAAACGTCTTGCTCCATTTTCAATATCGTGGGAATATTTGGAATATTTGGAATATTTGGAAACGTTTGGGGTTGAAATGTAAATGAGTTTTTCTTTAATTCCCAATATACGAAACTTTGTTAGTTGAAAAATGCCAAAGGTGTGTCCACAATCATTTCAATATAAACTTCAGTTAAATGAAATCTAAGGCTAAACCTAAAATAAATAAAAACTTATTCAATTTTTATTTCTTTTCCGTGTAGTTATTATAAGAGTAACTAAATTGGGATAAACTTTTCGGAATTCGTAAGTTTGCCACTATGTTATGCTTTCTTACCAGAATAGCCACGACTTTCTTCGATATGCTTTTTCCAACTTTACCAAACACTACAAATTAGTTAGTTATTGCCTGGGACTACATTTGACTTAATTCACGATTAGATAAAGTTCCAGATTGTGAAAACAACAAAAGAACGTAAAGTAGAAATGGATCAACACTATGAATCTGTGGTTAATATTAAGAGAATTACATAAGATATCAATAAGAGATATAAAAGTGTAACAAAAATCAAGCTGTTGTGTAAAATGGGTTCTGGACTTTCTGGTCCGATTTGTTAATCTGCAGATTTCACAGAGGAACTGGGTAATCCAGAAAACAACTGCCCTATTCTGCTAACTGTCCCAGTATATGTAACAGGTTCCGAGGTTCTTGCACCATGAGACGCGATCCCAGCCCTGGAAACTGCTGTTTTCCGCTCTCTAAACGATGCCCAAGTGACCATATAGAGTCCTAAAATGATGAAGAATCCACCCACAACGCTGCGCAGAGGAAAAGAAACATCTTAGAGGTGAGATAATGTGAAATGGATCAAGAAGATCTAAACTTGGAAGTGAAGAGTGTGTGAAGTGATCAAGAAATTGTCAGAGAGGCAAAAGTATTAAGCTTGGAAGTGAAGAGCGTTGATGATTCAAAATGTATTTAACCTTCCGAGATAAATAGGGCTACCGAGAAAGATTCTCGATAGGAAAGCTGATGCAGCGGGCTGAAGAGGATTGTAGAGAGCAACCAAAGCAGGACCAATAATCTTATTTGACCAAGTCAAGAGTCCAAAGTTTAGTGCTGATGCAATAACTCCCTAAAGAGAAGATAAAACCAGATGAATTGCTTCGGTGATTACGCAAGAAATATGTGAGAAGATCAAAAATACTTATTTTTGGTGCAACTTACAGCATATATTACTGCAAGAACCTCAGATTGTGTTAGCTTCCAATCTGATGGCTCCTTTACCATAAAGAATGCTGTTGTGACCATTAGTAATGTACCAAAGAAGTATGACAATGCAGCAACCGAAAGATTTGCCGGATACTTCTTCAAAAGCGGCGCCTGGAGAGTTTCCATTACATCCACATTAAAAGACACATGCACAGGGGTTTAGTAGGCTGTAGTAGTTAATGGGTTTGTTTAAACCTTACCAAAGAAACCGAAACAATGAAGGGATTTTTACCTGAATGGCAAGAAAAGTAGCCATACACATGCAGTTTCCAATCAAGCATAAAACTCCAATGTGCCATTGCTCAAACCCAAGATCGAGAAAACCAGAGACTAACCACCCAGTAGGCTCGGGTTGACCTCTAGCACTAATTTCATTGTTCATCGCAAAGTCTGCATCTTTATCTCCTAACAGGACCGGACCTCGAAATACAACCATAAAGACGGCACCCAAAACACACACAAGTGTGCCACCAACCTTAGTTTGACCTTCGATTCTCAACAAATTCACTCTTTCTGTACTGCATAGAAAGCAGGAGACATCAAAAACTGCTAATGGAAAGCACATCTAAGAGGAGAACTTTGGAAAAAACCATACTCACCCCATCATTACAGCCAAAAGAAAAGTAAACACTGGGATGGATGGTTGAATGGCAGCAGCGTAAGTTGGATTTGTGTATGTAAGACCAATAAGAAACAACAATTGGTTGCCAAATACCCTATAGAAATTGAGAACAACGAGGTGAGATGTTTGATCTGCATAACATGATTACAAGATATGGAGATGACAGACGTGGTTTCTTACCCTGCTAAGCCCAGAAAGAAGAATGACAAAAGGAGGCTTCTATTCATTGGAGTTCTGATCTTTCTACATTCATGAAAGACAAAGAATGCTAATTGATTAGATTTGGAAAAATGGTAAACCCTGCAAAGCTTGAGAGTGATCTCGCTTAAACTTGGCGTGTTTCAACCTCTCACACTAATCTTTCATTTTTCTGATAGGTTTTTGAGGTAACTAATTAAAAAAAAAAAACTATCGAGCAGAGATCAAGAAACCAGATCCTAGTTTCAAATGTACTAATCACAAAAGCCGAAGAAGAGACATGGAACTCAGAGAAGATGACCAGAGTAGTTTTAGAACGAGGACCAACAAAGAAACTGCAACAAACAATGATCTCAACTTGTTAATTATCAAATCTAGTGAAAACAGAACACAAGTCTCAATTATTTGCTTCTCCCCAAAAAAAAATTCAACTTTTAAGTTGAATCTTCTATTACGAAGATCACATTGACTTTTTTTAAATACCCAGAACTATATCCAATTCATCACAGAGAAACCCTAATTCAAATTCCAAAAAATCCATACCAATGGATCGGGCAATAACAGAGGGATGTATTGGTTTTGAGAACAGAGAAAGGTGAAAAAGATGATACCTTTCGCGGAAGTAAGCGAGAGGACCGAGAATAGAGAGAGCAAGAAGATCACGGCAGACGCAGAAGACAAGCTGGTTGACTCCAACATTGAGAGCTACTTTTGTAAGCACATGGTTTCCGCCACTAAAGAGCTGAACAATCGCCATCGCAGCGTGCGCCCTCCGTGCGTCTCTCTCCGCCGATCCGCCTCCGTTCAGGATCATCGCCGCCGTCATCTTTCCGATTTACTCGGCCCCTCTTTAGAGCTCTCTGTATCTCTCTCTCCCTTTTCCTAGTAGACTATGAAAAGTGAGATCTTCCTTACTTCGTTTGGAAAGCTTAGCACAAAATCTGCTTCTTCCTTTTTCTCAGTGTCGTAGTTTGTCAGTAATCCTTTTCTATGCAAATTTCCGTAAATTTAAATACAAATCTATGATGATCTTATTTTTTCTTTTAACTCTGTGTAGTTTTGATTTTTTTGTTTGATAAAAATTCGGGTAAATTTAATTTTACATATATGTCAGGTTTGTCAAATATGTTTGATCACATATCAATTGTCACAAAGAATACAATGGAAAAAATGTGACATTTGTCAATCTATATTAAAAAGAAATTGAATTTTCTATTAGAATTAAAAGTAAATATAGCTTGAAAAATAAAAAGACAGTGACTTTGAATTGTGATTACTAAATTGTTTATTTTTCGTCTTTCTTAACTTTTTTTTTCTAACAAAAAGCGGAGTGCCTACTAATTAAGAAGAAGACTCTATTGACACGTTTATTAACAAATTAGTGAATTACTTAGCAGCTTTTGTTTTAGCAATTCAAGTATTCAACAATGAATATATCACCTAATCAAATGGTTTGTTACGCAACAGTTTTCATCATCAGAATTAAAAAGCAATATAGATAATATATAAAATCCCTTACGTAAGTTAAGCCTTGGCTTGCTACAACACACCTCATATCTACATACTGAGATCATGTTTATCTGTCGATCCTCTTGGGTTTCTCTTTAATTATTAGGCTTTTTTTAAAATCAAAAATGGGTTTAATCAAGCGGATCGATCCTTCTTTCGCGACTTAAAGGATCGATTCTCTTAGTGTACGTGACAGACCGCAATAGGATGTTAGATTGGAGAGAAAATTTTGAGGCAAATTTTTTTTTTTTTCCGCGACCATTCTTCTCTCTCGCGAAACATTCTCGACATCTCCGTCGCCTCTGATTCCTCCTCGCGTCTTCTCCGACTTCGTGGTGGCGACGGCGGTTTTACTTCTTCTCCTCAAATTCTCCGACGTATCCTCGTCCCAATCTCCTCCTGAACAGCGGCGGTGCTTCTTCATCTACTTCGAACCGAGTGGTGAAATAGGTGTGAAGATTCAGAGCTTTCAAATCCTTGCATGGTATGTAATTTCGTTATCAATCCTCTTCTTTATCTCTTACAAGTGTTATTTGGGAGTGGAAGAATTGTCCTACCGCATGGAAAGGGCAATTTTCTCGTGGTCATGGCAAGCCCACCATCGTTTTAAAAGCCGTAGCGTCATATGATCTGTGGATATGACATGCGTTTTTTGGACCTCCAGATACTTTAAACGATATAAATGTTCTCGATCGGTCCCTTGTCTTTGATGATATCATACAAGGTAAAGCTCCGAAAGTTACTTTTTCTGTCAACGGAACGGCATACAATTTGGCTTACTATCTAACAGATGGTATTTATCCGAATTGGGCCGCGTTTGTCAAATCCATTAACCTTCTTCAGGGTCAGAAAGCAACATTATTTGCTGAACGTCAAGAGGGGTTTGTCAAATCCATTAACCTTTGTATTACTTAGCTTACAACAGTTGGTGAATCTTCTTGTGTGATGATCATTCGCTTTGATCTTAGCTCTGAGGAGTTTAAGTTTATTGACGCTGAATGCTTTAATGATCAGCTAGGTGATGATACTACTTTTATTTTGATAAACTATAAGGGTAAATTAGGTGGAGTTATCTGGAAGTATGGTCAAGCTGGTAAGAGGCGTACCATTGAGTTGTGTATGTGGGTTCTTGAAGATGTAGAGAAACAGGTTTGGTTGAAATATGACTATACAACTTTGCCTGAGAATGAAGCTCTTGGTTCCTGCGAGTTTTTTTGTTGCTGGAGTGATTGCTAGAGGTGAGATTGTTTTGTGTATGAAGTATACTACATGTAAACCGTTTTACGTTTTCTACTTCAACCCCGAGAGGAACACTCTCAAAAATGTTGAAATCCAAGGTTTTGGAGCTAACCTTTGAAGCGGTTGAGAATTGTGGTGCAGTTTATGCCTTTGTTGACCATTTAGAGGATCTTAGTGTTAACGATGCAAAGGAACTCAAGTCAAACGTCTCTTTAGTCAAGCATCTCTGCTCCTGCTGTAATAAAGTAGCGCATCCTAATTATCATTACTAGAAAGGCCTATAAGCCACAGAGAGAGAGAAAAGAAATGAAAGAGACGTAGTAGGGAAGATGAAGATAGAAGAAGACAATCATTGGAGTAGTGATAAAGAGTATATAAGAGATTATGAGGATGAGAAAAGAGTGAAAAAATGGAGAGGAAGGGATTAGGTAGTGATAGTTATGTTTGTTATTTTAAATGTCTGTGGAAATCAAATAAAGCTTTGGTAATGAAATGAAACTATTACAGAGAATCGTATGTAACCTTTCTTGACACTTTTCTTTGGTTAACCAACTTTTTCTTTTGTCAATTCCATCTCTCTTCAGTTACAGTTCTATTGTGTTTGGCCTTCGTCACAACGGAAAGTCCCCATATTAGCAAGAGTCAATTTATAAATTAGCTTATTATTCTTATGTTTTTGGTTTATAATCATGTCCGGATTAATTTTATTTGTTATAAAAGGTCTTTTTTTATAAGAAAGAGTTGCGTTTTTTTTTGTTTTGTTTATTAAAAAAAAAAGAAAGAAAGAGTTGCGTTTTTTCAATAACCAAAAAAGTCGAGGAATTGTGAAACTTGTTTGGGCTCAAAAGAGATGGACGGCGAAGAAGGCAGCGGAATACGGCTGAGCAAGAGATTTGCCGGCGGGAAAGTCACCGGCGGTAGCTTAGAGGTCGATTACAAGACGAAATCCGGTACTGCTTGGAGCCACTCGTTCCTGAACCAGAAGCCATGGCATCCGCTTTCTTATCCCAACCAGCGCCGCAAGTGGATCGCCGAGCAGACTAATGCCCAACACGATCGCAGAGCCGAAGAGGTGGCCCGTGAGGTACCCATCGTCACGTAGTTTCTGATTTTTCTCTCAATTGATTCAATTCGTGTTTTCCTCAGAAAAAATGTTCGTGGATTTGCAGTTTGCGCAAGAGCAGGAGTTCTTCAAGCAGGCGGCTCTTATCTCGAAGAAAGAAAGAGAGAAGGTTAGTTTTTTTCACAGTCAGATTAGGGTTTATGTTATTCAGATCCTGTTTTGAGTACTGTATGTGGGTTCTGATTCTCACAAGTGCCCTGATACGTTAGATTAGGGTTCCTGTATTCTGGTGATTGTAGTTCCGAATTCTAGAGTCTAGCAAAATTTCCCAGGCCGAATTGAAACTCCAGTTGTTGTTGACTCTCACCAAACAAATCCATTTGAAATATTGTCTCAACTCTTTAAAACTCTTTTTAATCTTTAGAAGCATTGAAATTTGGTGAACTAGTAATCTATACTTTAGTTTTGGTTTGATAAAAAGTGATTCCTGCTTAATTTGCAGATCGAAATGATGAAAGCCGTGAGCTTCATGTATATTCGCCCACCTGGCTATGACCCTGAAAGTGCCAAAGCAGCAGAATACGCAGATGAGAAACACGAGGGTCAGGGATCTTCGACTCAGAATCCAGTGGCAGATGACAATGTTGGTTCTAAGTATGTTGATGGAAACATATATTTGGTTTGAAAAATCATTGCTAGGATGATATAAACTTAGCTTATGGGAAAATTTGTTTTCTTTTGTCTTTCTTTGCTGTATGTTGTTAACGAGAACTGTTTCTTAATGTAATGCAGACCAGCAGAGTCAGTAGCCGGGGGTGACCATTCAGGTCAAGAAAGGAAGAAACCACGACCAAAAGATGTGTTTGGGCGTGCTCTTCCTACTGAAGAACAATTTGAAGTCCTTAAAAATGCACCAAAGTATTGCCATATCCCTTCGTACTCTTTCGAATTTGTCGGTAGCCTAGCATACCAGTGTCATTTGTGTTGCAACATGTAAGTGAACATTTGTCACATTACTTACTAGTTACTATGATTTGGAATTGTGCAGGCTGGAGACTGGTATTGCTGGGAGGGCAAAGCCATTTGCAGTTGAATTGCGTAATGTGAAATGTCTGAGATGTGGAAACTTTGGGCACCAAAGTGGTGATCGTGATTGTCCATTAAAGGATGCAGTAATGCCAAACGAAGAACAACGATTGAAAAGAGATGATCCATTGACTGCTATCATTGCACATACAGATCCCGGCGAGGTTGGTCTTAGTTCCTCTTAATTCTCATCCTTCAAAATCGTTCATTATCTAGTAGGCTTAGTTTTGGAAGATTGAAGGTGGATGCTTTATGTATCATTAACTGGAAATGGTCTTTAACTTTTTGCAGCCTCTGAAGTGGGAGTTGAAACAAAAGCCGGGCTTGAGTCCACCTCGTGGTGGTTTTGATCCTGATGATCCAAATCAACAAATCGTCGCTGAAGATATATTTGACGAATATGGAGGTAAATTTCTTGACCCATTAAAGGTTTTCTTCTTTTTACAAGTCACATCTCATCAGGAGATTGTATATTCTAATTTTTTTCAATTGCTTTTGATATCACAGGGTTCCTTGAGGGCAGCATCCCAATAGAATTACTGAAGAGTATGTCGTCGAATAAGAAAAGAAAGTCTAAGAAGAAGAAGAAGCATTCATCTCGGACTGTTGAGGAAACTGATGAATCTTCGACAGGCTCAGAAGATAGTAGAGAGAAGAGAAGATCGAAGAAGCGCAAGGATATTAAGAAGAAGAGCAAGAAGCATTATGATTCCGACTCAATCTCCTCTGAAGATTCAGACTCTGACAGTTACCGCCCAAGTAGAAGAAGACACAACAAGCATATAGATCCATCTGGGACATTAACATCTGATCTTTATCACCAAGGTAACAGTGAGAGAGAAAAGCATCCGGAGGACAAGAAGCATCAGAATTGGAAGAAAATAGCGGATATACCTTCTGCTTCATCTGAGGATTCTGATTATTATAGAAATCACAGTAACAGAAAGAAAAGTTCAGAAGAGGATTACAAAATCCATCACAGGGAGAGAAATAAAAGCGATCATGTTTCAGAAAAAAGTCGGAAACATAACAATTTGGAGTCTGAGAAGCTTCATAAAGTTGAGGAGAAGCAGCGATATGAGGAGAGAAGACACAGATATGTCGATGTAGAGTCTGAGAAGCGTTATAGATACGAGAAGAAACCGAAATATGATGATCTTGATTCCGAGAGGCATCACAGGAGTGTGAAGGGTAAAGAAAAGCGTGTGTATGATGCATATGATGATCGATACAAAAGCAAGAAAAAAGCCAAAGAAGACTCTCGTAAGCATCAATACAGAAATTGAATTTTTTTTTTTTTTTTGTAATGGGTCTTAAATCTGAGCCTATCACTGTTCTGACCTCAGTTGACATCCACTATTAATATCAGCCAGTTTTTTCTTTTTTTAACTCATCTTCAACTTAATTGTCATCCATTAATGTTTACAAAGCCTGTTTATGAGATTCAATTACATCACCTGTTAATGTTAGCACTTGAGGATTAAGACGTTTATGCACAGCAAATAAAACGGTGCGTTTTCAATGTAAGCAAAACATTTGCTTTCCCGCCTGCGCGAGTGAGAGAGAATCCATGTCCTTGATTCACCGCCGGTTAAATCGTTTTCCTGGATTATCGTCTGTAAACGCTTTTAACGTTCAGGTGCGAGAAGCGATTACTCGAAATGATCCGGCAGAATCACTTCTTCTGTTTCGAGAAATGAAGCGTGGAGGATATGAACCGAACAGCTTCACCTTTCCATTTGTGGCGAAGGCGTGTGCCAGGCTCGCTGATATTGGGTATTGCGAGATGGTTCATGCCCATGTTCTAAAATCACCGTTTTGGTCTGATGTGTTCGTCGGGACTGCAACGGTTGATATGTTTGTAAAATGTGATTGTCTGGATTATGCCGCTAAGGTGTTTGAGAGAATGCCTGAGAGAGACGCCACCACTTGGAATGCAATGCTCTCTGGTTTTAGTCAGTCGGGTCACACCGATAAGGCGTTTTCTCTATTCCGTGAGATGAGACTTGGCGAGATCTCACCTGATTCCGTGACTGTAATGGCCTTGATTCAAGCTGCTTCGTTTGAAAAAAGCTTGAAGCTTTTGAAGGCTGTGCATGCCTTTGGAATACGTTTAGGTGTAGATGTACAAGTTACAGTTGCCAATACTTGGATTTCTACTTATGCGAAATGTAGTGATTTGGATTCAGCTAAGTCAGTATTTGAAGCTATTGAAAGAAGTGACAGAACTGTTGTCTCTTGGAACTCCATGTTCAAAGCTTATGCTGTCTTTGGAGAAGCATTTGTTGCTTTTGGTTTCTACCGATGGATGCTGCGTGAAGGATTCAAGCCAGATTTAAGCACTTTTATTAATCTGGCTGCGTCGTGTCAGAACCCTGACACGCTAACGCCAGGAAGGTTAATTCATTCGCAGGCAATCTGCCTCGGTACAGATCAAGATATAGAAGTGATCAATACCTTCATTTCTATGTATTCGAAATCCGGGGACACCTATTCAGCAAGGCTTTTGTTCGACGGCATGCCTTCCAGAACACGTGTTTCTTGGACTGTTATGATAAGTGGGTTTGCCGAGAAAGGCGACATGGATGAAGCGTTGGCCTTGTTTAATGCCATGACCGAAGCAGGAGTGAAACCAGATCTGGTTACCTTACTCTCCCTCATTTCAGGTTGTGGAAAATTTGGTTTACTGGAGATTGGAAAATGGATTGACGCTCAAGCAGATACTTATGGGTGCAAGAGAGATAATGTCATTGTCTGCAACGCTCTCATTGACATGTACTCAAAATGTGGAAGTATAACCGAAGCTCGAGACATCTTCGATAACATGTCTGAGAAAACTGTCGTCACATGGACTACGATGATTGCTGGATATGCTTTGAACGGAGTCTTCCTCGAAGCTTTAGAACTTTTCAACAAGATGGTAGATTTGGAATTTAAACCAAACCACATAACCTTCCTCGCCGTTCTCCAAGCTTGTGCTCATTCAGGTTCTCTTGAGAAAGGGTGGGAGTATTTCCTCACCATGGAAGAAGTTTACAGCATCAGCCCTGGATTAGACCATTACTCTTGTATGGTAGATCTTCTCGGAAGAAAGGGAAAGCTCGAAGAAGCATTAGAACTCATCGGTAACATGTCAGCTAAACCCGATGCAGGCATATGGGGTGCATTGCTTAGTGCCTGTAAGATCCACCGTAACGTAGAGGTGGCTGAGCAAGCTGCTAACTTTCTTTTTACCTTGGAACCAGAAATGGCTGCGGCTTATGTAGAAATGGCAAACATATATGCAGCAGCTGGCATGTGGGATGGTGTTGCGAGGATTAGATCGATGATGAAACTCAGGAACATTAAGAAGTATCCAGGGGAAAGCATGATTCAGGTGAACGGGAAGAATCACACTTTCACCGTGGGAGAACGTGACCATACAGAACATGAAACGATATACCTTGTTTTGGATGATTTGAGCATGTTTGCGAGAGATGAACATACGTTGCATAAAGATGGGTATGCTGAACAAAGTTATCAACTTTGCTGGGTTTAGATTCTTAATCAGAAGGTCTTTGGTTCCAAACAGTTGATCCTCAGTTTTGGAGGACCAGATTCTAACCGGAAGTGATGGGGAATCTGATATCAACATGTAATTAAATAATTAACAAGATATAAAGTAACAGATAATTCTCATTTGTGGAGGACCAGATTCTGTTGGCATATATTTAAATTATTCACCACTATTGTGTTTTTTTTTGACATTTTTCAGAGATAAAGGATAAAGACTTTTCCGCCACTTAGATAAGTATTACATAAAAGAGATATTTCCTTAAGCATGTTCGTAGAACTCCGTGTCCATTGCGCGTTCCCACGACGTAGATAATTTGTTATCACGCTTAACCTTTTTGGTTTGACATATTCTCATTTGAGACCGTATACTTTTGAAATTTCTTAAAACACCAAATTAGAACCACGAATATCCCAAAAAAGTATATCTTCCTGTTTTTCTTCGCATCATATAACACTCATAAGCGATAAAATGATGGCGTCCACCATTATTTTATGGGTATTGGGTGTTTACTTTAATACTTTCCGTGGAAGTGTTTGGGGTTTAGGTACGATTGAAACTATGAATACTTAGTGTTGGACTCATGATTATTATTAAACTATGAGGACCAAGCAGACAATAAAAAATAAACTATAGGAATACACTTATTCAAAAATGGTAACGCGTTAAGTAATTAATTATTGATGATGCAGACGCAGCACGCCTATCCATATATACGTACATAAACTATGATCTTCTTCTCTTCCAATTCGTTCTGAAACAATCTCTCGTATCGGTAAAAATTTCTCCATTTTCTCTATTTTTCGTTTCCTCTCTTTGTTTTTGTATGATTGGATCGTGTTTATTCGTTGCGGAAATGATCTCTGGCTTTTGTATTTGGATCCATCTTGAGCTATATCGATCGATGATTATGTTAACGAGTCGCTAATGGTTTCGATTAGAAACAAATCTGAATTATTGGATTTCGTTATTCGTCGAATTTGCCTAGGATCAATGACCATCGATGTGATTTATTTGCAGAACAGATGTTTTCTCATTTTGGTTGGTATGATCCGTCAAGACTTGTTAACCAGATTTCTTTGTTTCGAAATCTAGCAAGTCAAATGTTCAGTTTTGCGTGATCTTTGAACCTGATGTTGATGTATATATCAAACTCTTGTAGGTTTTTAAAATTTTGCTGAATAATTGAGTAAGAAAACAATGGGAGGTGGTAAAGACAAGCATCATGATGAGCAAGAGAAAGGGTTTCATGGTTTTGGACATCATTACCCACCCGCTCCTGGAGGGTACCCGCCCGCTGGTTACCCTCCGCAACAGGGTTACCCGCCACAACAGGGTTACCCACCCGCAGGATATCCAGGTGCACCCGGTGGTTATCCTCCTGCTCCTGGCCATGCCGGTTATCCACCTGCAGGCTATCCTGCTCCTCACCACTCAGGTAAACTATTATCATCTGCTTAAAAAAGACCTCTTCTTTGCAAAGTTGTTGTGTTATCGAGATGCTAGTGTCAAGTCTGAAGAAGATCCTAAATGTCGCTAAGGACTGTCTTTTGTAGTTTGATGGATTATCAACCTGTTGAGTAGTTTTACGTTTGAATGGTATTAGGACTTGTAAATGTTGCTGTTTTCTATGCAGAAGCTAAGGATTGCCCTTGTCTTTTTTGTTGTGTTCTCAGCCTGGTATAACCTGTTTTTAAAGTTTTAATGATAGTAAAAGGACCGCTTAGGATCAGTGAGTTTATTGTCCTGTATTCTGTTTCAATTGGTGTTACTTGTGCAAATGTTGAACCTTTGAGGTGGTTTCATAGTCCTATTCAGATAGACATTGATGTTTTAATCTTAACGATTTAGTTGATGCACACTTTTTTATCGATTGTGATTATCATCATATGGACAACTTTATGGCTTCTTTCCTCTGCGTTCTGCTTCTATCGAGGTTCTCCATGTGATACCTTTTTTTTAATTCTGTTTCATCAGGACATTCTGGTGGTGGAATCGGTGGCTTGATAGCTGGTGCAGCTGGTGCTGCCGCAGCAGCATATGGATCTCACCACGTTGGTCATGCCTCTCACAACCCTTACGGGCATGCAGGACACGCAGGATATGGCCACGTTGGTCATGGCTCTCATGGCTTTGGGCATGGTGGTCATGGTAAGTTCAAGCACGGAAAGCATGGAGGCAAATTCAAGCACGGAGGCAAGTTTAAGCATGGAAAGCATGGGAAACATGGGAAACACGGTATGTTTGGAGGAGGAGGCAAATTCAAGAAGTGGAAGTAATCTTCAAAATCCCACACCTTTGATTCTCTCCGCCAGTTGTCTCATTACCTGACCGATGTTTCTAATAATCCTCCCCCACCTAAACATAAACATTGCATTTTAACTATATCGGTTTAGAGATCGCTGGTTCGAGGAAATAAAATGGAGAGTGCTTGTATAAAAACCTTATGGTATCTGAGGAAGAGGTTTCTTCAATTTCTCGATAGCTTATCTATAATTTGGTTTTGTAATGACAATTTGTGTTTGTTTCGGTTCTTTTTTTTTTAATGGAAATAACCTCTTAAGTTTGATGATTTGATGTTGGTGAAGTTCTCAAAATATATATGCTATTTTTGTAGATAATGACATTGTATCTTGTTCTTTTTCATTTTGGCTTTCCTTTATTTTTTGTTTGTCCTCTGAACTCCAAAGATGATGATTCTCTTCTCGAATCAGGTAGATAATTTCTTTTGTTCCCCAAAATTAAAAAAAAAAAAAAAAAATCAATATTTTGGTACAGTATAAAGAGTTTTCTATGTAAAAAATGGAAAAGAGATTAATCCTTATTATAAGGCCCATAACTTGACAAACCCAAGCCCAATGTAAAGCGAATCGGGTCAAAGCTCAAACTTTTACTTTTCTCTTCCATTGCTACTAGATTTATATTCAGATGATTCCCGATATCGTCATCGACAGAGATTTTGGGGTTTTCCGTCGTATAGTCCTCGATTGATTCGCAGTTAAGTTTAACATCTGTAAAAACCCATCAGTGTATCTATTAAAAACTTGTAATTTCGTAAAAAGTTTATGGATTTGTTCATTTCTATTACTCGTTGTTTTGATATGTGGGCAAGTCTCTCTCGTAGTGATGATGGCGTGGACACGATTGATTCAGAGCGCGAGAGCATCTATTGGGACAGCGAACTCGTGTTCGGCTCTTGGCCTCCCTAGATTCTACTCCAAACCAGCCACTTATTTCGGTAATGTAGCTATCATTCGTGCGTTTTGGTTTTGATTCTTCTTCATCCAAAGGAGAACTATATAGCAGGACTATACGTTTCATTGTTTAAAATTCGCGGATCTTGGTTATTGTAACAGTGTTGTTTGTAGATTTTGATTCTTTTTCTCAACGTAGACCTTGGAATATCTTTTAATGGTCAATGCGATTGGGGATTTGGTTTTGATTCTCTTTTGTATGGTGGTGTTGCAGAGAAGGTTGGGATTCCAGAGTTCCTTGGCGGGATTGGAGGAGGAGCTGAGACTCACATTGCCAAAATTGAAACTGAGATCGGTGATCTTCATAAGCTGCTTGTGACGCGTACCCTCAGACTCAAGAAGCTTGGCATCCCTATCAAACATGTACGTACCAAAGTCTCATTTTTTATGAATATTCATTTGGCCATTACTGGTCAAACTAATCTAGAACCATCACTGCACCAAGGTTCTTAGTGGATTAGGTAGCCCTTGAAAAATTGGATTTGTTCCTTTGCATAATTTAAGCAAAGAAGTAAATGGAAAAGGGAAAAAAAGGTGTTGGGATCCTAAAAACTGATCGAGATGTATCTATATTCTTATCTTCCTGATCTTGTGAGCTGTTCTCGCCAAGTCTTGCTCTTTTAATCCAAAGAGCATAAATTTATCCATACATCTTTCCTTCACATATATTTTAAGTGTTTATGGAATTACGCCATCTTATTCTTGTACATGTTGGCTCAGTTATCCACTTCTCCTATTTTAATACCTCATGGATTTCACAGTTCTGCAATTTTGGTTTTGCAGAGGAAACTCATACTCTAGTATGGTCAAAAATACAGGCTAGGAATATGGAAGCCTAGAGTTGACGCTATCAAGACCTGATTGAGGCGCTATGTTGAACTGTGAGTCTATCATGCTGGGCCGTACCACTGGAATGAGTTGTAACCTAAAGGATCATTTTCAAAATCACTTCAGTAGTGGACAATCTAGACAGTAGTAGTAGTAATGTTGGTTTAATGGTTGTGGCAGTTCATTGAAATCCCATTTTGTAGTTCATGTAACTGTTTTCTGCACTCTTTTAGAATCAAATGCCCATTGTCTTGAGGGACCTATAGGTGTATACAGTATATATAGAAGTCACCTTATATATATATGGCAACATTTCAATGATTTTGTTGAGTTTTGTGGTTACCAATTACCAAATTAGCCACCGGTAAAGATGGTTATTTAAGGGTTAAGTCCGATGTTAAAAAATAAACACAGAATTACTCTTTTCGAATCAGGTAGATCATTTCTTTTGTTCTCCAAAATTTTTTTTTATTCAAAAAATAAATCAAAAAATAAATAAATATTTTGGTACAGTATAAAGAGTTTTCTATGTAAAAATGGAAAAGAGATTAATCCTTATTATAAGGCCCATAACTTGACCAACCCAAGCCCAATGTAAAGCGAATCGGGTCAAAGCGGTGGATAGCAGATAATTCAGAAACCCTAACAGAGCCAATTTTGTCATTTGCGCAAAGCGTAACTCTCCGGTGCGTGTGCTCTCAGCTGGTTCCTTTAAGAATCGGCACACGCTTCTTCATTTCCGATCGTCCTCGAAGCTCAATCTGAATCTCTCAGTTATCTCAGGTTCTTATCTCAAACTCTTACTTTTCTCTCCGATTGATAATAGATTTCATATTCAGATGATTCCAGATATCATCATCGACATAGTTTTTGGGGTTTTTCGGCTTTAGGTTCTCGATTGATTCGCAGTTAAGTTTTACATCTGGAAAAACCCATCAGTATACTTATTAAAAACTTGTAATCTATGGATTTGTTCCTTTTCTATCACTCGTTGTTTTGTATGTGGGCAAGTTTCAACCTTTGTATCTAATTTGATGATATTCCTCTTTATATATATGTGGGCGAATTTGGAATCCATCTTCACCCTTCGTTTTTTGTCTGAACTCGGTTTCGCCTTTCGTTCGAAGTATTGAAATTTGCGTTTTTCAAGCTTGAAGTTCTAAAATAATTTGACGTCTTAGAATTTGCTAAAATAATGATAGAAATCACGGACTCTTTGAATGTTGTTTGTGGTACATCGTAATTGTTTCTTATGTAGTTTCAATTTGTGCTTGTATACTCCCTAATAGCTTCTTATCAGATTGGTGTTCATGTTTGTGCCGTAATATATAGTTTCCGCTGATTGGCCCACTAAAACCACTTTTGTTCTGCTATTAGATTGTGTATAAATTTGTTGAATCTTCATCAGGCAGTTAAGTAGTGATTTTTTTTCCCTTAGATCTTCCGAGAGATGGCAGATCGATTGACACGTATCGCTATTGTGAGTCAAGACCGTTGCAAGCCAAAGAAATGTCGCCAAGAGTGTAAGAAGAGTTGTCCTGTGGTTAAGACAGGTGCATATTCTTGTCCCGAAATTGAATTTGTGACCACAATATGCTGTACTATGATTGATTGGCTGTGTCATTACTCGTTTAATATGATTAGTGACTGCATGCCAATTAGTGCATAATGGTTCGGTTACATGTGAAACCATTAGTTTATACTACTGAAATGATGTTTTTGTTTCAACTCTAAAAATTTTAGTGCCACTTATTCATTAACTTATGTATATCTTAGGAAAACTTTGTATTGAGGTGACTGTTGGTTCCAAGATTGCTTTTATCTCAGAGGAGTTGTGCATCGGTTGCGGTATTTGTGTGAAGGTATGTCTGCATGTGGTATTTCTGACCGAATATGCCTCTGTACATGTCACCAAAACTGGACACTAAATAGTTTCTGTTGTTGTACAACTGCAGAAATGCCCGTTTGAAGCTATCCAGATTATTAATCTTCCCAGAGACTTAGAGAAAGATACAACCCATCGCTATGGGCCAAACACTTTCAAGTTGCACAGGTTCGGTTATCTATTATTTTCCTTCAAAACAACTGATCCTTCTTTTAGATTTAAGACGATGGAGTCTCTGTCTTTACTTCCAGGCTCCCAGTTCCAAGGCCAGGGCAAGTCCTAGGGTTGGTTGGGACAAATGGTATTGGAAAATCAACCGCTCTGAAAATTTTGGCGGGAAAGCTCAAACCAAATTTGGGCCGTTTCACTGTAAGTCTTTATTGAGTTGCTGAACCTTTATCTGAAATATGCGTCTCTTGACTAGTTGGTTTATAATTATTTTCCTTCTTGTGCAGAATCCTCCAGACTGGCAAGAAATCTTGACTCACTTTCGTGGGTCAGAACTTCAAAACTACTTTACCCGTATTCTAGAAGATAATTTAAAGGTACAATGGAAATTGATCTTATATTTGACTCCATAGGGTGCCTAGGTTTCATTTAATGATACAAGTTGTGATATTGTGTGCATGACAGGCCATTATAAAGCCTCAATATGTCGACCACATCCCAAAAGCTGTTCGAGGCAATGTTGGAGAGGTCCTTGACCAAAAGGATGAGAGAAATAAAAAAGCAGAGCTCTGTGCTGATCTGGAGCTGAACCAGGTCATTGATCGTGATGTCATGAATTTATCTGGTGGTGAGTTGCAGAGGTTCGCAATCGCTGTTGTTGCCATACAAAATGCAGAGATATACATGTTTGATGAGCCATCTAGTTACCTTGATGTTAAGCAAAGACTCAAAGCTGCTCAAGTTGTTCGTTCTCTCCTGAGGCCTAATAGGTTTGTTTTTTCCATCTTCCGACTTTTTTTTCAAATGGGATCTAAAATAGTCCACTTATAGTGTTTTTACCTTGTTACCAGCTACGTCATTGTTGTGGAGCATGATCTCAGTGTTCTTGATTACTTGTCGGATTTCATTTGCTGTCTCTATGGGAAACCAGGAGCCTATGGTGTCGTGACTCTTCCCTTCTCTGTCAGAGAAGGAATCAACATTTTCTTGGCTGGATTTGTTCCCACAGAAAATTTACGTTTTAGAGATGAATCTCTGACCTTCAAGGTAAACTTTTGTTGATGGTGCAGAGGCAATGTCGCTTCACAAAGGTAATCAGTATGTGTCCTTAATGGTTTTTTTTTTGTTCGAAGGTTGCTGAGACTCCACAAGAAAGTGCTGAAGAAATACAGTCGTACGCTAGATACAAATACCCATCCATGACCAAAACTCAAGGAAACTTTAGGTTGAGAGTGTCGGAAGGTGAATTCACAGACTCGCAGATTATTGTCATGCTTGGGGAGAATGGTACAGGGAAGACAACATTTATCCGGATGCTGGTATTCTCTTATTCCATTGTCTCATCTCTTGTGGTTAGAATTTCAGTTGGAAATGGACTCCTAAACTTTATTATTGGTAATTTCTGCAGGCGGGTTTGTTGAAACCTGATGATACAGAAGGATCAGACATAGAGATACCAGAATTCAATGTTTCTTACAAGCCACAAAAGATCAGCCCAAAGTTTCAGCATTCAGTTAGACAGTTGCTACATCAAAAGATTCGGGATTCGTACATGCATCCTCAGTTTGTGTCGGACGTGATGAAACCACTTCAGATTGAGCAGTTGATGGATCAAGAAGTTGTCAATCTCTCGGGAGGAGAGTTGCAAAGGGTTGCATTAACTCTGTGCCTCGGAAAGGTGAGTATTTGGTTTTAAAAGTTTATAGAAATACAGCTGTTTTTCTTCGTCTCAGTGATCTCATGCATACACAAACTTAATCCTTGCAGCCCGCGGATATATACCTGATTGATGAGCCAAGTGCATATCTCGATTCAGAGCAGCGTATTGTGGCTTCTAAAGTCATTAAGCGGTTCATTCTGCATGCAAAGAAAACCGCATTTGTAGTCGAGCATGACTTTATAATGGCTACCTATTTGGCAGATCGAGTCATTGTCTACGAAGGACAACCATCCATTGATTGTACTGCGAATTGTCCTCAATCACTGCTCAGTGGAATGAATCTCTTTTTATCTGTGAGTCTCCTATTTTCCTCTTAGTTACAGTGTTGAGGCATTGAAGAAAACCTAACGTTTGGTGCTAATGATTTCCATTTATGTCTTTCGTTACCCTGCAGCATCTGAACATCACCTTCAGACGGGATCCCACCAATTTCAGACCAAGGATCAACAAATTAGAGTCGACTAAAGACAGGGAGCAGAAGTCTGCTGGCTCATACTACTACTTGGATGATTAAGACAACTACCGAGAGGTTCTTAATCTCTAAAATCCTATCTTGTTTTGTTTTATCAATCACACAGCTATTGTGGAGAGCCAATATCTGAAGTATTTGTTCTGTCTTCATTTCCTTTATCGATTCACAGAATATAGGGCATGATCTGGATAAAAAAATGTCTGAGTTCCACCAGAAAGGTCTTTTTCTCTGAGGAATTTGATCTACGAGCTCGGGATATTTTGCGCAACCATCTGTTTTCCGAGTTTCTTATGAGATGTTTCTTTCTCTCTGGTCAAGCTTCTGATTGTTTGTTCATCAGTTTTGCTCTTCCAGCCTTTTGCTATATACTGTGCAAAGGTTTTTTATTAACTGAGCAATAATATCTTCTGAATCTTTAACCTTTTTGTTTTGGTTTTTGTACTTTTGAGTTGTTTATTTCAACATTGACTGTAATGTTATTACTTGGTTTTAAAAGGAATGTACTGCCTATTATTATTATTTATCTTGCTTCTAAGTTCTCACACAGCCTCTAAGCCAATCTAACTGATAATAGGAAAATTTCAAGAAACACTAAGATTTATAACACTGTAACCAGGGACCTTCTTCAAAGCTTTATCCTCTACCATCTTGCGTAGCCGTACAGCTTCTTCCCAATCTCCCAACCCAACATATGTATTTGACAATGAGATATAGTAAGATGCATTGTCTGGTTCCATTTCAAACAACACTTCTGCAACTTCTTTCCCCAACTTTGTGTCCGCATGATAGTTACAAGCACTCAACAAAGCTCCCCATACACCTGCTTCCTGTCGCTCTCCGATCCCTTTGATGAACTCATAAGCTTCTCTCAGCTTCCCTGCCCGGCCAAGCATGTCAACAACGCAAACCCGATGCTCGGAAACTGGTTTCACTCCGAATTCATCCTCCATTTGGTTGTAATATCTTAGACCTTCATCTATAAACCCAGAGTGACTGCAGGCTGACAAAAGGCTTATGAAAGTGCTCTTGTTTGGCTCCATCCTCGTCCTCATTTCCTTGAATATTTCCATTGCCTTCTCTCCCATTCCATGAAATCCATATGCAGAAATAACAGAGTTCCAAGCAGCAATTGATTTCTCCCCTGACTTTCTAAAAACTTTCATGCCGGTTTCTAGCATCCCGCAGCTGCTGTACATGTCCACGAGTGCAGCACAGAGAAAAGGGTTAGCCTGATATCCACGGCGAATGAGATGGCAATGTGTCTGCATACCATAGCCTGCATACCCAAGCTGAGTTGAAGCAGAGAGAAGGCCAACGAATGTGATCTCGTTCGGCTCTAACTCGAGTTTTCTAAAGAGCTGAATCGCTTCTTGTCCAGCTTTATTCTGAGACAAAGTTGATATCACACAGTTCCACGAACATAAGTTAGGGTCAGAGATCAAGCCGAAGACTTTCACTGCACTATCGATGTCTTTACATCTACCATACATGGTGATCAACGTGTTCTGCAATTGGGTCTCAGATTCTCTCAAAGTCTTAATGGCTAGACCATGAAAGCATCTTCCTTGTAAGACCAGTCCGAGGTTTCCACATGCCGAGATAGTACCTAGAAGAGTAATCATGTCATGGCTAACTATCCCTTCACGACTCATTGCTTGAAACGCTCTCAGTGATTCTGAGTGGTGACCATTCGATGCACAGCCATAGATAACAGAGTTCCAAGATGCGAGATCCCTTGATTCGGATATCGTCTCTAACAGCAAGAATGCTGAAATTAGGTCCCTGCAACTGATGTACATGTTTATAACTGAATTAGCCGAAAGGATATTATCCCCAAATCCTAGCTTTAGCTGCCAACAGTGGACTAACTTGCCAAAGATGAGAGAATCAGAGGATTCACAAGACGGAAGAATTGCCAACACAGTAGACAAGCTAAACTTTGAACAAGAATATTCACTAAGAACTTCCTTGAACAGATTCTTAGCTTCTTGAGTAAACCTATTTTGCACAAAAGCAGATAACATCGAGTTCCATGAAACTAAGTCTCTATCAGTTGTAATCTTGAACAGCAACTCAGCCTGCCTTGTTAAGCCACACCTACCGTACATATCGATTAAGCTGTTTATCACCTCTAATGCTCTGGATTGCAGCTCCCTGCGAACCATGTAGCCATGAATTGCTCTACCCTCTCGTGGCAGACATATATCACCACAGATGGAAGTTACTGTAACCATCGTGGCGATATCAGGCTGAATCCTATCCACCAATTGCATTTCCTTAAAAATACCAAATGATTCTTGAAACATCCTATTTGTAGCAAAACCATTAAGGATTGCATTCCAGGAAATCACATCCTTGCATAATATTTGTTCAAACACGGTTTCCGCAGCATCAGTGCCCCCGCATTTTGAGTACATCGAAACGAGCGAGTTGGCCACAGAGACATGAGCTTCTGGGATATAACCTGATTTTATAACCACCCCGTGGAAGGATTCGCCCAAAGGAAGCTCTTTAAGAGAAGCGCAAGCTGAGATTACGCACGAAAAAGTCACATTATCAGCTTCTTGTCCTGAACGAGTCATTGACTTGAAGTAATTCAACGATTTCCAGGGATGACCATTTGCAAGACATTTAGTAACGATTGTGTTCCAAGAGACAATGTCTCGGTGTACCATATCTGCGAATACACACTCTGCTGAGCTCAAATCCTCGTCTTTAGCATAAAGATTCATCAGTGCATTGCACAAGCTAGGATCAGAAACCAATCCAGCCTCTATTGCCAAACAATGAACCAGTGGACATTTATTCGAAAGGTTCAGACTTGATAACGCCGAAGCTGCAAGTAAGAGCGTTGTAGAATCAAACTCGGTTCCCTTCTTAATCATCTCAACGAACAATCCAACAGCTGCCATGGAACGACCATTTTGATTCAGAGAAGTGATCATACTGTTCCAAACAATCACATCTTTCACTTTCAGTTCACCAAACAGACCCAAAGAAGACACCAAGTCTCCGACTTTACTGTAAAGCGTCAGAAGCTTCGAAGATGAAGGCAAATCTTGAAGAAACCCACTCTTCAGAGCGAAACAATGGATACTCCTCGGAGTCTCTGCCTCTGTACTCATCATGGAGGATCTAAGTACATCTCGCAAAAACATAAAGCTTGTCTCAACCGTTCTATTCTCTCTATTGGGCATTTCGTCGAACACCTTATGACCAGTAGGAGTAACCGGAAGCAAAACAGCTGATTGCTCATGTTTTCTCCTACTGATGTGAGAATCAGAAGAACTAAGACCGCCCAGAAAATTCCGGCGAGAAAACGAGTGCCTGAAAACGTAGATTAAGTGACCGGAATTATAAATTCTCAGTTTTTTCGGGGAAATCGTAGAATTTCTTACCATCACCTACACCTGGACATGTATCGGCGATTACCCGGCGACGGCAAAAACATAAATCAATTGGGTCTTTTATTGGGCCTGAGTCACCTTAGTAATTATTGGGCTTTTTTCTTCTTAATTTTTTTTTCAAGCATTGTAATGTACTTTCATTTCAAATCGTAAAATGAAAATTAGATGAATGGTGGAAAAATCTTAGATATTTTTGAACGGTGAAAGAATTGATGGTTGTTTAGAAATACTAAATTTTATGGTTATATAAGTTAAATTAATTTAAGTTATACTTAATTTTGCTTACCATTTCTTAAGCCGGATTTAAATGTCAGTCATACATGCATGTCGATTTTCTCTGGCTAGTAATTCTTCGTTTGGGAAACGAATGTACATCTCTACTTCTTTTTATAACCTTTTAATACAGTTCATAAGAGAAATAAATATATTCCCCGGAGCCAATTTTCATAAAAATTCACTAGTTAACTATATATTATATTGATGGAACAAGAAAATAACAATTGAACTTACACAAAAAAATTGGTACAAAGAAAAGAATCATATAATAATTACATTGGGGTTGTAGAGGAGAGTTTTTTTTGGACATTCAACTTCAACTTGTATTAAAATAAAAGATCAAGTATTTAAGTTGATAATATAAAGGTTTAGGGTTATATCCAATGTATTCCAAAATATATAAACTGACGGTAAACAAATTTTAGCCATTTTTGTTAATTTTAGCCATTTTTTTTGTGTGATGCATAATCTGTGTAAGATAATGTAATATTTCATAGTCGATAATGAAGTTTGAGTGATTGTTTGCAAATGGTTGTGTAGAAATGTGATGTCTTTGTAATTTAACAAAAATAAAAATAAGAAAATTGAAATTTGTTTGAACACATATACTCTTCAACATATTGATCACTTGGGGAATGGGGATTAAACTAAAATACCAAAACATAATGGTTAAATAGTTTATCAATGATTAATTAGAACCAATAAATAATAGTCTCCCAGATCCGTACTGTACCCGTTACCTTTCCCGAAAGCATTGCATATTAAATGTTTCGTGTTCCCGAAAGCATTGCCTTTTTTTTTAATATGATCACTTTTTCGTGTAATTCGATGAATTCTCTCTTCAACTTATAGAATCACATTAAAAACCTTAATATAAACTGCATTAATTTCCGTTAACTACATATGTTTGTTAATGCACATTGACTTTCTATTTGACTTTCAGCAATCGATGTACGTATGACGTACACCTGCTTTCGCGCTCATCAAACTAAACCTAACCACCTGTCTTCTACATTTAATAATTAGTGAATACATTAATATTAAGCTCTTTTTTTGTTGTTTATATCAAAGTCAAAATAACATTATTATTGATATTTTTTTGACGACGAACTAACATTGCCGTTACTAAACACTTCTTAGATGTTCATAATTTTTGTATCCCACCGTATATCCTCTTTGTATTCCATCTTGATAATACAATTTAGACCCAAAAAAAAAATGATGCCCATAATATTGTATGTGCAGCAGTACTTCGATTCGAATAAATTGTAACTAACTAATTTCTCAGACATTAGAGGTGTTGAATCTAACTTTGTTAACTAACTAATTCTTTTTTCGCTTCAAATATCTAAGCCAAACACTAAAACCTGCTCATAATCTTATAGTCGCAGGGTTCATATTTTTTTTTTTCTTTTTCCATTATCACATCTTTTCAATCATACAAAAACACATTTTAACTATTGTACATCGTATTAGAGTGATCTCCTCTCCAACGATATCTTTCTGAACAAACATCTCTTTGTTTCTATTTTGATAATTCTCGGTTTTTAATCCTTCATCCTTTTGTTTTTCTTCCTTTTTGGTTGGTGACTTGTATTAATATTTTGTAATATTTTTTAACACGACTTTTTCTTGTAAGTTTGTAGAGATTTAATTTGCTACAAGGTCTTAATAAAAAAAAATATTATATATGTTTGACAATGAGCATGTGCATTTTTTTCATTTAGACAGATGCAGAGGATTCGTGGAAGATGGTTGGATCAAATTTTGATAATTCGACTAATCACAACCTAAGAACGATAAGGGTGTATTTAATTGCGGTTGACTACTGATTTTGTATTTTTTTAGTAGATTTGTTATGATGAGTCATGACGATCGAGTTGTTTTAGGATTAAGTTTTGAAATTATACATATGAATGTTTGATTGAATGTTAAGATTCAGCTTATTATAATTAAAGTTAATTTGTCGTGATTGAGTTTTATATTCAGTACAATAATTAGATATGCGTTGACAAAAATATGTCCATTAATTATATAATGCTATACTAACTACATGTTTCTGTCATAAAAAACAATTGACGGAGTGCAAATCAAATTGTATAACCTTGATTGAATTTTGCTTATTATAATGCATGTGGATGAATTTTGCTTATTATAAGACGAGGATACAATTGACAGATTATATATTTTACTTAAACTAAAGATTGATATGTATGGATCAATCAGTGGTTAAATACTATAATCACAAGTTAGATGAATCAAATTTGCTAATTGTCTAAAGCCTGATATCAACTTGTACCCGAATTGCTGCGTCACTTTAAAGTGGCCAATTAGTACATGTTTAACTTTTATTATAACTTAATATATGTCTTATAATACACTTTGGTCAGAAGTTAAACACACCAAACTATAAAACATTGATTGTTTCAACTTTCAAAGGTTCTCATATACTCCCTCCGTTTCACAAAGAGTGTCGTTCTGACATTCTTCACACAAATTCAGAAATAAGATAAAAGGTCTTTTATACCCTTATTAATTTGCAGGAAATAACTTTGGAATTATATTTATAACTAGTTTTCTGAATTTATTTTTGAGGTTAAAAATGATATTTTATATCAAAATTTACATTGGAATTCTAAAACGACATTCTTTTTAAAACAAAAAAAAATGTCAGAACGACACTCTTTGTAAAACAGATGGAGTATGATTATATAAAGCCTTAAATTTTTGTTTATTATAAATTCTCTTGTTCGGGGTAAATTCAACAATTTTATGAAACGAGTGAAATATTAATTTAGAATTAAATTTAATATTTTTCATTATTTTGTCTTATCTAATATGTATGCGCCCCAATGCAAACTTTATTAAATACAAAATCGACAATGACAACCATACATTGAAAAAAACATTCAGGAAATGAGCATAAAAATATCGACATGCAAAAGTATATATATTCCTAAATTTAAAAAGGAACATATATAGCATTATTCAAATAAATAAAGAAATTGGTGTGACAACTAGCATCTTACGAGTGAAGAGAATACTATCCATGGTTTCAATAGATACCGCTTTAGTGAAGCCCATTGTTCTATCTGTATTGATTTATTTTCCTACATCGTTACGTTTCTTGTATATAAAACGTAATTACTAATCTTTTTTTTTTGTCTGTGTGTTATGGGCGTAATATTGTTTTTTTTTTGGCATTTATTCAATTATTTATGTCGACCATTATTACTATAGAAAAAACGACCTTTATGGGAGTATTTATTTTGGATGTCAAGGAGAATTAATAGTCGGTAAACAAACTTAGAGTTGACTTCTCAGGCGGATATAAAGATACGTTAATGTTTGTGGGGTTCCTCAAAGTTTGAACAACATGGCAATAACTGTTTCTAGACAGCAAAATTATTATAGTCCTTACTTACATAAATGATGTTTTTTTCACATTTTACAGAAAGACTATAAGTCTGTAAGTTGTAACTAAGCAAAACTTATGGTTATATATATATACGAAAAACATTTAAAACGGAAATTTATTTTTTTCAAATGGAAAATTCACATTTTTCCATGAGAATTAAGACATTTATTTGTCAAAATTCAGAAAAATCACAAAAAAAAATGAAACAAAAATTTAGTCTAAACCGGGAAAGTATGTTTCTTAATAGGATTTTTTTTTTGTTTTTCATTCGTTTACGAGGACGATATAGTTGATTGAGAAACCAAATCCGTACTTCTCCATAAACAACCTCCATGTACGTAAACCAAGTAAAGAACATCATTTAGGACACGTATGTCAGAAAATCAATATTTTTAATGTAGTTCCTTGGTACATAATCAAAAGATTCAAAACTCAAAAGAGGGAATGAATACAAGCATTATTAAAAATGTTTGAATATTTTCATTTTCCAAATAATAGTGTAACACGTGTATTTGTGAATCAGTCATAACATTGAACCTGATATGTACATATTCATTAGCCACTATCGACATTTGTAGCCCTAATAAGTCGAAAGTAAAGATCGGTTTTGTCCACCCAACATTTTGATTCTATATCACTTTTTTGAATTTAAAAAACGCGACTCTTTTATATGATAATGCGATTAAAATGTTGCCATTATTAGGAACAATATAACCCTATTCCAAAAAAAAATCAAGAATGGTGATATAAAGCTGTTAAACAATTAAAAGAAATAGCTTTAAAATAATTTATGTAGGTAGGTGTATTATAAATGGATGATATTTATCATTCTATTTTTTTTATAGTACAAGTTACTGACTTGAGAGTATATGCACTCTATTTATACATTTGAATCACAAGAGTGCAAATTTACATATCAAGATCAAAATTTTAACCAATCAACAGATAACCGTAGCTGCGGTTAAGGCAGATAAAATCATTAGAAATTACAAAACATCATCTTCTATATTGTCCTTTCCTCAACGTCTTACATATAATTCTTGGTTAATATATTGTATAAAAGTAGATTTATACAAAATGTGATTCAATCTAGTTATTGCTGAACGCATGAATGTGATCGCGACCTAAGCATACTCCATCTGTTTTATTATAATATTTGACTTTTTTGACTTTTTCATACAGATTAATAAACAATTACTATTTAGTCATAATATATTATTATCTTTCACCAAACATTTTATCATAGCTATGAACCAATCATAATTCATCAAATTCAAATATTTTAATTAATAACTCCTAA